TATTTTCGGAAACTGCCATATGAACCCTCTGCCTCTTGGCGACAAACACCAAGCTCGTACCCTGACCTCCGACCCCGACTGCAAACGTCCCTCTAAAGTCCAGCAAAAAAGCACACCATGCCACACCCAGCATGTTCAACCTAACTTCCAATCCTGGAATAGTAATCAAAGGTGGCCCTAAAACCTCTCAAACTCATCAAACAACTCCAGATGCAACACCAGTTGACAGAAAGCCCCAGCGGTTTGGGGCTACCGCTTAAACCAAAACGCTAAACCCCAAAACCTAAAGGTCTGCCTGGAAGTCGCTTTGTACTTCCAGCGGCCACCGAGCGCGGAAATCCTTCGAAACCTCGCGGCACGGCATGGCTTACTTAAGGGGTTTAGTGCTTCTAGGGATATGGTGCATAGGTTCTGATGACGAGGGTTTCTCTGATTTTTCTTTAGGGTTGTTTAGGCGTTTTCGGAGTGTGTCGATAGCACCAGGCCAGTGGGCTGAAAAGCGATAATTGGGGATCTTGTTTGCAATTCAGACTCCAAAGACCCTGACTCACGGAGTATTCCTCGACTAATAGTAGGGAAGTTACCCTTCAGTATATTGCAAATTCGAGGTTCTGGGAAGGCTGATTTTTGAGCTGTAGGGCTTCATGGTTTAGAGCTCAGGGCTTTTCGGCTCGGGGCTGTTGGGTTTAGGCCTTCGAACTTGAGGCTCGTGGTTTAAGTTTTGGGAGTTTCCGAAAATGTGGGACCCCAATATAGTACCTTGACTGGTATACTAGTAGGATCCTTGTTATAGGGATCCCATATAAATAGGGTATCTGGTAGGATCCTTGTTATAAGGACCCCCAAACTTAAAAGAAGGCACCTCGAATTTTCGGAACTCCTAAACCCTAAACACTTTAGATCCTTTATCGGAACCCTTAAAGGAACCCCTATAGATCCCTTTAAAAGTACCCCCGAATTTTCGGAAACTACCGAAATTTAGCCATGCCGGCTTGCTCCGAGAGGCCTCTACAGTTCATTGTTGGGATTGGATTAAAAAAGTAAATCTTTTTCCTTACCCCTTATCCCGAAGGGTCCATGTACCCATATAGAGATACACTGGGCCCAATGTACCTATATAGGGACTACATTAAGACCAATGTATATACTATATGAGTACATGGACCCTGAGGGTATTGGGTTCAAGTACCCATAAAAATGTAAAATGGCAGCCAACCGTATGGATCCCTTTAAAGGAACCCCTATAGATCCCTCTAAAAGAACCCTAAAGACCCCTTAAAATGTTAGCCAACTATGACAAAAAGGCCTGATCTCCGTGGAGCTCCCAGATGCGGATCGAGCCATCACTCTGGAGGCCTTTAAAGGGGACGCTTCAAAGGGTTTGGGGCTTTAGGGTTTTAGGGTTCAGGGTTTTGGGTTTAGGGTTTTAGGGATTAGGGCTCAGGGTCTAGAGTCGGCTGCGTTTAGGGTGTGGGATCGACATGAAGGCTCCAACCATTGGGTGTTGGAAGCCTTCATTTATGGTTATTAGCAAATCTGCACAATTGAGACGAAGGATTGGGAGGGCAGTTGAGTCTTAGATTCATGGAGGGTTGTGTCTAGGGTTGAAGCTTGACAGAACAGGTTAGAGCTTCCAAACATCTGATGCAAAGAGCTTGTGGAATTCGAGTACGTCCCCGCAATGAGGCTCATTAACTTCACATGGAAACATTGGCATGGAGGTTTCGGATTTTGCTTTACGCTAGCCTCACATCCACGATCGTACACTCTAAACCTGCATCCTTACTAGTCTATGTCTATGTCGCAACGAACTCGAAACCCGTCATATCAAACCCAATGTCCCTATGTAAGCCAACGTCCATGCAGGGTTCACCATGATGTGGGAGCTTGGGTTCGGGCTTGAAAGGTCGACGTGTCTGTTTCCCTTTGGCCTTTGATTTCGATGCCCTTGGCGACGGCCCACCTCGTACATAAGACGCATATAAACATCTGAACCCCAAAATTCCTCATGTAGCCTGAAGCACCCACCCGCGACCGCAGCCCAATCTCCGTTTCTCGGCTCCAGGCAGAGTAGCCTGACACTGGATGTGCCATGCCTGCGAACGCCCCAAAGCTCCAACACGCACATAGTTGTAAGACAAGCAAATGCGACACCCAAACACTAAGTACTTGCACGTACAAAACACCAACACACGGAAGGTCTTGAACGCCGCAAACCCTGCCCCTTCTGGAAGCCTGACAGTCAAGTGCATTTTTAAAGGAAGCCCAGGAAAAAACACTAAAGGCAGCAATCAAAGCACTTCGTCCCATGGGCTTGGACTCTACACCCTAAACCCTCAAGCCTGGGGTTTAAGGGAGACGACCTCGCCCAACAACATGTTTGGCAATCCCGTGTCCAGGGTGGCATTAAGCAGCAAAGTTCGGACCTCTAGAATCTTTCGTCGGCCTGTATGAAAAGCGTCTTCTGTCAAAGCCAGAAGCAACGACCCTACAAATTCACATCAGAAGCTCCCACAGGATCCTAAGACCAAGGTAGTGCATGCTTAGGCCCAATTGCCCTGGCAACAGACCCTAAACCCTAAACCCTAAACCCTAAACCCAAAGTCCAAGCTTTCCAAGTTTACGGTGCTTCGGATTTGGGTCGAGGGCTTGGTCCAGGGTCTTTGAGGACTTTCGGCTATAGGGGCAGCTTGGGTATCCCATCATGAAGCTTCGTGATTGGATGTGCTTTCGCACCATACAGTAAGTGCTGAACGATGCCAGACTTTGTGTAGCTTTCTCATGTCGACACTGCCCGAATAAGTAGCCAATTTGGAAACCCAGTGGTTCTGGCATAGACCTGCCTTCTCATGCTGTCTAGCGTAGCAGTCCGCAGTACATGCGAAATGCTCAGCAATGCCAATCGCCCAACGGCCTTCTCAAGCTAAGCGCCATCGGGACAGCGCCCTGCGAGGGCGTGAAGGGCTAACTCGTCTTGACTTTTTAATGAGGAGTGAAACATACACCCCTGCGCTGTGTACCACGGGATTATATAGCTCCAGAAAAGACGCCGAAACACCGCGTGTGCTGGGAGTCCCGATTCCTAGTTCTACGAGTGCAATCATGCAAACCTGAACCTTGACCGACACAGCAACTGCAGTTGCCAACCCCCCAAGCCCGAAATGCAGGAGGTCCAATGCAGCTACGTGTGCAGCATATGGGCGAAGCGCCGTGGTGTATGAGGCATACGTTGCCTTATTACAGGGTCTGTAGTTTCTGAACGCTTCTGATATGTCGTGTCTTCTGGGTATACCGATCCGACTGCGGGGGTTCGGGATTGAAGGTGTAAAGAACTCGAACAAGGCCTAATGTAGGAACCTGATTAAGAAACCTTGGGCCTTTATTAGGGTTCCTTATATGAGTCCAACTACTTTGGGGTTATCGGCCCAGGGTTTCTTAATCAGGTTCCTACATTATGGAGCACATGAATGCGGGAACCAAAGTTTTTGCGGCTCAAACTCGTCAAAAGCCTGGAGGCCCAATAGACCTTAACCTTTCGAATGCTAAACCCCCAAACAGAGGAGCCCATGCCCCGTTGAACACAGACTTACCATTCGAAGGTAAGTCTACTTGAAGGGTCGGAAGACTTAGTAAGTAGGTAGTAAGTAGACTTATAAGTACCCTAAAAGGGACCTGAATTGGGGTTATGGTACGTATAAGTCCCTAAAATAGCCAGTTACCAAGACCCCCGACCCTCCAAGTAGGGACCCTGGCCTGTTAACTTGATAAGAACCATGACAAATTAAAACGACGAAAGCTCCGCATTGCGAGAGTCATAGGAAATGCCGCACAGCTTTCTTCCTATTGCAGGAACTTACATACGCGACAGAGAACCGTATCATCGGTTTCCAGACTGTAACCCAGAGGGTGCATATACACTACCATTATGGAGTCCCCAAAACCATAATAGTTTTAGATAAGAAAGCAAAACCGCGCAAGCAAACCTCCCTACTTCTGGAGGCGATATGATGGGAGAGCACCAAGGCGATGTCAAACCTCACGGTTCAAGCTTTGCCCTAAAGTCCTGCCCTTTTTCGTTAACATAACTGCACGCGTGCACTCGCACTTCCCTCTGGCGGCACCAGGGAAACTCGCCTCGGGATGGAGGAGCACCCAGTTAGCCCATTACACCTTACTTAAGGAATGTGCCGTACACCTTGGCCTTAACCCATAATATTCAAGCCCCCTGTACTGTAAGTAAATTCCCTGATCATTCCCAAAATCATAAGTTTGGGCTACATCTACGAAAAGTATATCTTCCTTAACTACAAGCTGATCAGGGATATTGACACCTTTGCAGCATAGTTGAGCACTTCGGGTTTTTGAAGCCACAATCGCAAATGCATCTCCGTTCTAGCGTCTGCGATACCACCCGAAGTGTGCTGATGGTCATCGTGCGTATCTGACTCGTCGAGATGACACTGACAGTGGTGCAAAGGTGCATGGGCTAAGCGGCTACACAAAAAGAGAGCATCATCTAACTCTGATACATGACGCCATATAAAATGGCACGGAGCCTTCCTGGAGACCCGCATGCAGGCGCATCCGAAGCATCAGGCTTTCAAGGCCTAGTTACCACGAAACAAAACCTGAGATCCCGGAAACATGTGACAGCCTGAAACAGAAGATCCCCGTCGCAGAACCTCACCCAGAGACTCCAATATCCCTTAATGAACGAATATTCCTTAAATCATATTGGGGATCCTACTATATTTTAAAGATATTCCTTAATTAAGGGTTATTGGAGTCTCTGGGTACTATGAACTACGATGAAGAAGCCCTGAAACCAAGGAATTGCATTCTCTCGTCTTCACGCAAACCCAAACTCACAAACTCCAACAATGTCACCTTGAAGCCTGCAGTTAGAGCCCGGACCCCCAAACCCCCTAAACTCTGGACCCTGTTTAGGCCCAGAAAGGGGGCCAATGGGCTTGTCTCCACGCCGATGCGAAGTCGACAGGTTAGCGTGCAGCCGCCATGGCCTCTGCGATACCGATGAGTACTTCATGGAGCTGTTGGGCTGTCTTTGGGAGTTTCCGACATTTAGGGGGTACCCTATTTTGGGGTCCTAACCTCAGGAGCCTACTATTTAGGGGTACTATGTTAGGGTCGCCTAGTTTCAGAAACCCCCATATGGTTAAGGGAGGTTGAAGGGTGTCACAAGGCTTCGGAATTGCTTCTCAAGGCCACGAGTTGTAAGTTGTTTCTACAGGTTTCCGTCCGGGGCCGTGTTGGGCTGCATCTTTATCTGGACTGTCTGGTGTCCGTACAACCGCCCGGAAGTAGAGTTGAAGGCTGGTTTGCGAACCAGAGCATATACGCTCTGCGACTGGCTTGAGCTTTAGGTCTTCACCTAATAGTTTCAGGTGTCAAGTTGGCAAGGCAGTACTTCCCGAACTGCTGGCATTGTTCGTGCCGGTTTACAAAAGCTTTCAGGCTGCTGCAGCTTGCACAACTTGGGCATTTGGGGAGCGCTATAGATCAATGTGGCGTGCACGAAACCTCATGACATCCGACGAAGACCTGTGCACAAAAGCAGCACACATCAAGAAACACTACAGTAAGGTCTTTGGCCCCCGAAAAGACTGGACAGTTTGAGTACGACCTACTGCAAATTTCTTAACACGTATTGGAGGTGTCGAGGCTCTTTAGAACATGGCAGAACTCTCAACAACTCTCCAGAGCAGTGTGTGCCTGAGCCATGCTGACGAAGTGGGAGTGAGCCTCCGGAATGTTGGCTTACAATCGTCCCAGCTGCCAGCAGAAAGCCAGGGAATGAGGCTTGGGGCTTAGTAAGTTGCAGTTTAGAGGCTTTAGGTTCATGAGCGTAGGGCTCTGAGCAGCTTTGGTTTTCAAAAGCTGCAATGTCTTTCTCTTCCAGTCTTGGGTGTGCTTACCATCGATGCATAGTAGGATGAAGCATAAGGTCCGGCTCCACCCATATCGATTGTGGGGCAGATTGCAAAGCCCAAACCCGAAACTCCATACCCCGATGCTTAAAAACCCTACACCCGAACAGCTCTGAGCCCAAACACTCTAAGCCCTAAATTCCGAACCTTTTGTCCGACGTCCGCCACCCCAAGCTCCAGGCTATAGGAGCCCTTCAAGGAGTAGATTAGGTTGTTGTAGGCACACAAGTACCTGAAGAAGGACTTCTATTATATGAATATCCGGGAATATCTCCAAAATGGCACCAAAGATGTACTCTCACCATGTCACATATGTTTAAAAGGAGCCCTGTCTACGCCCACCAAGAAAGATCTCACAACTCAACCGTCGCAGGCCTCCACGTAGAGCTGTTGGCAGGGTGGCTTGTAGTAGTGACATCCTCACCCGTCACGAAACGGTTTAGGGTTACGTTACTTGGGGAAGTCAAGTCCTCCTGTTCTGGGGAATTGCATCTTCTTCAGGCGTGTTTGTCGAACTACCGGGGGCTGGAAGGCGAATTGCATCTAGGGGCCTGCGGAACATTGCTGCATTTGGCTAATTACAGTCCCTAGATAAAAGGTCGGGAGGGCCCAAACCTTGTACGTCCCAAACTCTAAACCCCAGTCAACACCATCAGCAATCATCAAAGCACTCTGAAGACCAGGCTGAAACACACACGCACCACTAATCCCTACACCCTACTATCCCTGAAACGGAACCGGCCTGGATGGTGCTTGATGAAGTCCCCTGGCTGCCATTCCCGACTCGCCACTGTCGCGGCAGTGGCGGCGTGGAAGGACTGCAGATGCTCCTGGTAAGACTTGGGACAATAGGGCCTTAACTCCGTAGTCAAAGCAAGGGTTTGCAGGCCAATTATACTCTAGTGAAAGTAAGGAACCCTATAACGAATTCTATCGGAAATGAGTTAATGTAGGGACCTTATAAACAATTAGAATAGGGTTTCGGGCTCCCTTTATAATAGAATTAGAATAAGGAACCTAAGGAACATTATTGGTAATTTTGAGGCTTCTATATATCATTCTGATCCCCATATCACCACGTGCGACCGCCAAGTCCCGAGGCCTAGGCCTTGGTTTAGGGCTCAGTGGGGTTAGGGCTACTACACGTAAAGGGGGTCATGCTGAATCTTCCGGGAAGGTCAAATCAAACAAACGCCTGAGTTCTCCAGAAAAGACTACCAACTACGAGATCAACACAAGACAGCAAACAAATCAAATCCTGTACCTGAAATGATTCCCTTCCTACAGTTCATTCCCTGGATGTCGACACCCTAAACCATCAAACTGTAAAGCCCAAAGCCATATAGCCCCAGACTCTCATCGCATCCTTAAACGGGGAACCTTCAACCATGCAACCCTACCTTCCTAAACCTGTGCCTACCCAGAGAGATCAATACCCCTTTATGAGGAAGGATGCCATAACTGATGCAGGGCATAAGATCGCATTGATTTAAAGCCCGAAGGGTCCAAGGAGCAGTATAGTCTATACTTTGGGGGCCCAAATACCTACTAAGAGCCTACTATAAGGATATTTGGACTCTTTGAGAAATATGCTCCGAAGTACCGGGCCTATTATAAGTTACCCACCCACTAACTGCCCGTTCAGAGACATACTATTCCGCTACACAGCCCGCTATGCATTGAATCACCGGGGGGTGGGCTCTCCGGGTAACCACACTTAAACGGATTGTGGGACTTAGTATCTGGGGTTATGTTTCGGGTAAGTGTACTTATGATAACCCCAATAAGGGTACTTATAACCTTACTTACATGACCCCCGCTTTACAGAACCCCTGGAGAAACCCTCTAAATCCCGTCTAAATCCCTTTGAGAGGCCCTTGCTTACAAAGTCCCATGATCCTCCTTATAGAACTCTTGTAGAAGCCCTATAGATCCCTTCTAGATCCCTTTAAGGAACCCTTTAAGGGGCCCTACTTTCTAAGTCCCACGACTCTCCTTATAGAACTCTTATAGACCTATAGATCCTGCCACATGCCGCTTGCCTGAGCGGCGACGCGCACTTCGGGAACCTAGGCGTCAGCCAGAGACTCCAATATCCTTTAATTAAGGAATATTCCTTAAATTATAGTAGGATCCCTAATATGATTTATGGAATATTCTTAAATTATAGTAGGATCCCTAATATGATTTATGGAATATTCCTTAATTAAGGGATATTGGAGTCTCTGGGCATATAGGGCCGAGGATGAAAACGCAGCAGTTGATCAAGGTTCGCCTGAGAGCAACCAATCCTTAAATGCATAAACAGAAGATGTATATACCCGTACATAGGTATGCATGCAAATACTTGTGTAAGCTTCATTCCTTGATTGCTGAGTTCATGAGCCCCAAAAGGTGTACACTTTTGGTTTTCTAGTGGGTAGTATTATCCAAAAAGTGTAAAGTGTATCCACTGAGCTACTAAGATTCCTGATTGAACTTGCAAGTTGGGCTCTCGTCCAGGGGTCGAGGGCTTACTTGCTCAGCGGTGTAAGGGCATAACCGACTTGTCAGGTATCATGGGAAACTGAAGGTCAACTTTTGTGGTTATATAGGGACTACATAGAGACTATACTATATACCCTGAAGAGGTTAAAAGTTACCTACTCTACTACTAGGATAGGGACAGAATCAGCAAACACGGATTAGGGTGTAGGGGCCCGGAGGGCCAACCTATGACAAGTTCTGTTCATGACCTACAAGGTTAGCTAGGATGCCCAGTAAAATAGGAATCAAAAGGGCTCCTTTTTCGGTATAGGGTGACTTTATAGGGAACCTAGGATTAGGAAACGGGAATAAGGGTACTACTGGGCATCCTAGTCAGCCTGCAGAAAGACTTTCCTACATGACTACGGCAGCAGCCAATTCCGAGCTCCGCATAGACTTAGACCCCTGGAGGCCTTGGTTGATCTAGGTTCTAAAGTGCTAGACGAGTCGGCATGATACTGTTTCTCTGCTTTGGTGGCTTTTGAAAGGGGTTTAACACAATAATCTACCCCCAAACCCGCTCTCCACTCACCAAGGCCACTGTTGAAAGCCTGCGTCGACCCTGAACACTCATACGAAAGGCCAAGTGGCCCAAACCGGCCCCTCTGCAGCATCCCAGAGCTCGTCCATGGACATGCTGGTGGCCTCGGTGTTTCTTCATCTCTCATTGTTGAATTCTGGTGTCCTTCGATTTCGTTGCTGTTGCAGGCTGCATTTGCACTAGGCCTTCTGTTTTCCGCCTCTTTTCCGCGTTCTTCTGACACGGGTGTAGGTCGGGGAAAGCAAGGCTTGACTTTCTGCGGTTGCTTACCACCTCAAACTGGGGCTTCGGATGTTACAGAGTTTACCAAACAGGTCTCGAGCTCAACGCTGGGGTAACCGACGTGTGGTTCTGGGAGTCTTTTCTAAGCCGGAACCAATCAAACCCAAGAAATCCTGAAACGTAAGCTCCAGTCCGGAAATCTTAGTCTTACCCCCAAGCCTAAACCCTGAGATGATTATCTGGGGGTTGCTGCCTTCGGCTTGTATCCTGAGATGCTCCGAACCCGGGTTCTCTTCGAAGAACCCTAAACCTAAACCCTAAAGGGCTTAGGGTTTAGGGTTCCAGAAGGCTCCAATAGCGTCTGGCCTGTTTCATGCGTTGTTGAGTTCTTTCGCCCTAAACCCTAAACTCTAAATCCCTGCCCTAAACCCAAAGCCCTAAAACCCTAAATCCTAAACTCTAAGCCCTAAAACCCTTAACCCTAAAACGCTAAACCCAAAACCCTTCTGCCCACATCCACAGCTTCGCTGACGGCTCCACGGACTCGCCGGAATTCGGTCTCTGGGGCTCTAATACTTAGGGGCCTGAATACCTATGATACTTTGGGGGTTCCTTATCATAATTGTAGTATAATGGGCCCCAAAACCTTATTCTAATTATGAAGGCCCCTACAGTAGGGTTTCGGGCGCCTTGGTTCGTGGGTTCCGTGTGTAGCTTCAACAGGTGTACCCTGCACCCCATGAGGCCTTAAAAGCACTGAACCACCCGAAACCCTAAACCCCATGAGCCCTGAGCACTAAACCACCCGTGTCTGCTGCAAAGTGGCGTACAACAGCTGGTGTTGCATCGTAGACTGGTCGCTACCTGAAAGCACGAGCCGCAAGTTCCGAGCTTGGGGTCTCAAGCTGGGGTCAACCAAATCCTGGGTAGCTATAATAAGTATGGCTATAGGTTCCTAATATGGGGCAAAAGCTAGAGAAATCCTGCTTATAACCCGGACATATAACAATCCATGGACCTCCATCTCAAGCCCTAATACCCCGATATAACTCATGCGGGTGGTTGTCAATATTAGGGCCCCTTTTTGTGTCCTGATTATAATACGGCACCAAATATTTAGGGTACACGAAAAGAGACCACAATTTTGACAACCACCCATCTAATTCCCTGGATCCATGAACCCCAAAACCCTTAGGCCCTAAAACCCTAAACTCGGAACCCCATAACCCTAAAAACCCACAACCACCCACGTGCATACCGGGCTGCAGTTGTGGTTCTTTCCCGGGCCTTGCCTCGACATGTCCACACAGACGTTGCTGGCTTTTCAGGGAGTCTCTGGACTCTGAAGTAACCAGGGAGAAAAAAGTATGGCTTCTATTTCATAATGGTTCCTGTAAGGAACAGGACCCCCCCAAAAAAGTATTCAAGTATGGTACTACAAACCCAGGGTCTGGAGTTCTTCGGACTTTATGCACATGGGAGTTTCCCAAAATGAGGGGAACCTTATTTTGGGATCCTACTGTTTCTTCGGGCCCGGTACATGCCTAAGCAGTGGCTATGTTGGTTGCTTTTCAGGTGTTCTAGAGTTCTTGGACCCAGATACATGGCCTAAGCACACTCAGGGGCTGGGGTGTTGCCTCATTTTCATGTCGAGGTCTTTGGGGTACAGGGCGACGGGGGATTATGAAGACTCAGAGTTAGCAGCTTTGGGTTCAATACGAAGTATTTCTGGAATGTAGGATTAAGCATTGAAAACGCTTTCTCCAAAGTTCAAGCCAGGCAGCTGCACCTCTGCGCAGAATAGACAGCATAGTGACGTGGAAACTTCAACGACATGCCTTAAGCACCTTACTCTCGCACCCCTTAAGCCTCAGTCAGAGAGGTGTTCTCCTTTTTAATGTCTGCTTGGAACCCCGTGCTCCAGAATTAACTGTACCAAGTCTTAGAGACGAACTTGAAGTGGAGCAATCGAGGTGGTTGAGGCTGAGCCTCTACGGCTAAGGGCTTTCGGAGCTTGAGACTGTTGGGCTTCTTCGGACTCACGGACCCCAGTTCCCTGGGTTTCGGGTGGCTATGAGGCTGGCTGTCCTCCTTCTGCGCCAAGCCACAGAATGTCGGAGTGCCACCATCGCACCAGAAAGTCGTGAGACCAGGGGGTGTTCTTCATCAACCACCTTAGACGTCTGGCGGCAAGCCTTTCAAAATGAACAGCGCGTTTTCTCACTCATGACATCATTGAAGCCGCCACAAACTATTGCACTTAGGCACATTCTGAAACTTAGGGGTTCATTCTTGACCATTGGGCTGGACTTCAGAGGGCCTTGTACTACTATTTCTGGGTCTATATCGGGCGTTCAGAAGCCAAGACGCACGCCGTTGTTGATGCCAGAGGAGTCCGTCGCGACCTTGTGCGTTTCTCTCCATCTTGCTTCTCGGGATGAAATGTAGTTCCTAGCTGCAACCGCAGTCCCGCAGAAACCCACCTTATTAGGGCTCCTTATGGCTATGCTTGCTACTTCCTGTGCTAGGCGTCCTTAAACCGCATGGCAGTTTGTGTCACCTTAAGCCTCTGGGCACCCCTTCGTTGAGACGGAAAGTGGGGCCGCACATTCTGAAGCTCCCCCCAAACCCGAAGGAACGTCTTTCTTCCCTTTGTATAAACTAAAGTCTAGCGCCTAAATCCGGAATCCTAAACACTAACCTCTACATCCTGAGAACCTCGACCCTAAACTCGACACCCGAAACCTAAGTTCCTGAGTAGACCCGTAAGGGTACCCTTTCTCCTACTAATTCTGTTCTTACAAGGGGACCCCAAAAAGAAAAAGCGCAAAAGGGCACTACGTGAGATTCATCCCTAAAAGCCCTAAACCCAAAACCCTAACCGTAAGCCCTAAACCCCATATATAAAACCCTAATCCCTCATGCTCTGGCAGCCTGGGGTCCAGGCAATCAGCGACACCTCTGCTCTTCGAAAGCTCTGGGTGTTGTTGGGGCTCTAACTTTTCTGGTTGAAGGCTGGGGGGGCGGGGGGGGGGGTGGCTGTGGGAGGTTTCGAGCTTGAGAGTTTGGGGTTTTAGGCTGAAGGGCTTGATTTAAGGTTCGGTGTTTAGGGTTTAGGGTTTATAGGGTTTGTAAGTGGTAACAGATGCGGTCGTATCGGATGTTCGAGCTTCGGGAGGAAGGCGTAGTGGTTTCCAGGAAACAATGGCTCGGGCTACGCAGAGCAGCTAATCCCTGGGGCCCCACCTTGAAGGCCCTTTTGATCCTCCTTCCAGCTGCAGATGTCGCGATATCCTGCAGTCGGAGCGGAAGGGAGTGAGGGACACAAGTTTCACTTGCATGCCCCCCGTCCCCTCCTCTTCTAAAGATTTGGCACAGCTTCCCCAGCTGTTTGGAAATCAGGGCTCGTCTGGCTCTGGCGAGTGAATCACTCTGGAAGCATTATCAGTAACCTCAACCCTGGAAGTAACTATGGAGTGGTCCTTCTGTTCCAGAGGCTCCAAGCCTCTCTCCTTCCGCCGCTTGGCGGACATCATAGCTTCGTCTTCCACCAATCGCCAGTGGTGCCCCATCTTGTAGTAGAGCTCGTACTCGCGGCTGCCACCTTGCTTGGTGAGGCTGTTTGCTAGCTGGGCTTCGCTGTGTACCCAACGTAGTTGGACGCCGGTGTTGGCTTGGGACTCTTTGATTGAGAGGAGTTCCAGGCTGGTGCGTTTCTCCGCACCCTTCACTGTCATCACTTCGGTCACGAGGCGGTCGTAGACGTTGCGACTGTCCGTCACCACACAGCCACCGGTCTTGGCCACCAGGCTGTCAGGGTCACGTAGGTCGCCGCTGCCGTAGAGGAGTTCGCTCCACTCATATCGCCCGTGGTAGAGACAATCCTCTCCATTCACAGCAGCCTGCGCCTCTGCGGCGCCCGGTGACCGGCATGCCCGGTCGATCTTCTGGGAGTGCCATGATAGGGGAGTTACCCCTGTCACAGCTCCTGCAAGGATGGACTTTGGCGCCATACCCAGGAAGAGCCCTTGGGTGGAACCACTGTCAACTCGGTTCCCATTGGCCGCATCCACCCACATGACCATGGTGAGGTCGTCGTCCTTGTCAAAGGCGTGGATCTTCATCTTGTAGCCTTGCTTCGCCTTGGCGCTCGCCAAGAGGATGTTCGCCTTCACCACGGTGTCGATGGTGCTGCGGGATACCTCGGATAAGAGCAAACTCACTTCCGCAGCGAGGTACGGTGCAACCTGTTGGGCGTGCCAGCTGATTCCTCCTAGCAAGGCGCGTAGTTGCGTCTTCTCCTTTTCTGAGGTGCTTTGGGTGAGGTCTTTCCTACGACTAGCGTTGACGCCGATCTCCTGCAAGTTGTCAAGGTAGGATGGTTGGGAGAGTTCAAAGCCTTCAGGGGTTTGTTCAACTACAACACCACATTGAGTGAATCTGCCCTCTTCCCAATCTCCCCACTTGAAATGGTCGCGAATGGCCTGAAGTTTGGACTCCCACACAGAATCCCCGGTTCTTCCGCAGAAAAGAAAATCATCAACATGTCCACTGATGGCTCCCCGCAATTCCCCGTCAACTCTCAACACCCAACAGCATGGGTCCGACCACAGCTTGGTAAAGCCTAGTCCTTGGAGAAAGGTGTCCACGGAACGGTACCACTCTAGAGGGGCATCTACCAATCCGTAACAAGCCTTTTTCACCTTGGTGATGCTTCCTGGCTCAATTCCAAGTGCAGTGCATATCTCAGGACAGGGAATACAGTAGAGGGTGTCAGGATACTGTCTACTCTGCAGAAAAGCTCCGGTGACATCTCCCTTCTGAACCTTCCAACGCTTCCAAGCAGTAAGCTGAAGTAAGAGCTGACGTGTCATGCGACTCATGACAGGGGAAGTGGTAGCACGATGTTCGTAGGCCTCATCCTGATAGCCTAATAAGACGGCTCTGGCTTTGGGCTTTCGGGTGCCATCTTCCTTTAACTTCCACGTCAATATCCATCGCATGCCTATAGCTTGGGATTTGTCCGGCTTGAGGTGGTCGGGGAGAATCTCAAAGGCTTTGGAAGCAACAAAGTTCTTAACCTCCACACTCTTCGCTCCACTGAATGACTCTCTTTCTTCGGGAGTCAGCTTCCGCTCAGACAGCTCTACCGCCCGGCGCTTCATGCTGCCGACAAAGTAGGTCCCTAAGTCTCGGAACGCGCGGTCACGACCGCGGTGAGAGGACGGCATCTCGATTTCCACCTCCACGGCTGAGGTCTTGTCCTGCCAGTATGCATTGGTCTGCTCTGGCCACAACCCTGGCTTGACGTCTGTCCACCAGGCAGCAGGCAGGTTGCTCTGGAGGGCCTCCTCAGATCCTCGGCCACGGGAGCGAGAACGCTCTCGCTCACGAGGTGCACCGGGGTCGGCCTGATCGTCGTCGTCCATGATGACGTCGTCTCTCTCAAGGGTTCCCGGGGCCCTTTTTCCCCGGACACGATGCCGAGCTGGCTGTACCTCTTCCTCTGGTTGCTGAGCACGGTGCCACTCTGCAGTGCTTGGCTTCTCGTGGGAGATGTCTTCGTAGCGCGTGCCGCCGATCTGCTCCGCCACAGTGTGGAATGTCCAGGACAACCGCTGTTCCCTGGGATCGCCCAGGGATTCCAGTAACTCTTCTCTCTGAGAGGCCCGGCGCAGCTGTTCTGGGGCACATTTCAAGAGACTGCGTCCCTTGACCAGCCAGATAGATCCGCCGGGTTTGGCTGATCCATCACTGTCCCTTCGCGTTTCTGTGGCCAACACACGCGCTGGCCCCAAAAACCTTCCATGCTTCCCGCCCGGTTGGCGGCGCCCCTTGTTGGAGTCCTGAGTCCTCCAATAGTAGACGAGTTCGCCAGGGGTGTAGTTGTAGCATGGGCGGTGGCGGGAGTGTTTGGCTCGTAGCAATCTCTGTTGCGTAGTCCAGTCCGTCAGGGCTTTGTCAGCCTCCGCTCGGCGCCTTGCGCCGCGTTCAAACTCCCCAGTGGGGTTTTCCACCAACAGATCAGGATGGACTTGAGAGCATTGGGCGAGGAATCGTCCAGTCTCATCTGGAGCCTGGCCCAGAATGTGTTGGGCTGGAGAGAAGCCCCTCACCAGCTCCTTGTGGTTGAAGGTCACCACAGCTTCTGACAGTGCTTCATGCGGGGATATTTCCGGATCATACTGGCACAGTTTGGTCATTACTTCCTTCACACCTTGAACGGCACTCTCCACAGTTCCTATCTTCCAATGGGCTTCACCAGGAACTATATCCAGAAATATTGAATGCTTGTCACACCATTCTTCTACAGCGGCACTGCGGAACGCACCTGCAGGGTCCAGACGAAGGCATCGAGGGTGCCCAAAGTACTGAACCCATCCCTCTTGGAGATAACTCAAACAAGCTTGAGCATTAGGCGACTGCTTTGCGCCAGTGGTAAGTATACGAGCGGTGCGAAATCGGGACCCTTCGTCAATGACGATCATAAAATTGACACTCTCTTCCGTCGTGGGGTGAACCCAGTGCCCAATGTCAGCTTGAATGGTGTAGAGCTTGGGTGGCAAGGGCTCCAGGGAGGCAAGGTTCCTAGGAGGAGGCCGCTTACGTTCAACACACACGGGACACTGAAAAGCTTCCGCAAGCTCAAGTGTTCTTTGGTCAGCACCTCTACGCTTCAGGGCCTGGATCATGTGTCTGACGGGACTATGACCGGTAGCACAATGCAGGAGGTACAACTGCTTCTTGATACGTTCATCCCTGTTCCGCTGTTCGGGGACTGACGGCGGGGTTCCTTCAGCAGCCAAGGCTTGTTCCGAAAACCCAACCTTAAACCCTGGCACCGGAAATCCCAATTGGCGAAGTTCCCTGCGTTCCTCAGCAGAAATGTACTTCCAGCCCCGACTCACATACACAGTAAGCACCCATCTCTCTCCTTCCCAATCGCATGTGCCATGCCACGCTGTGGGTGAGAAAATTGACGCCTTATTCCGAATGTCAACCTCCGAACCAACGAGAACCTGATCACAACCATTGACCCTTTCGGAAGGCACCCCTTTACAACCCTTCTGAAGGCCACCCTCTTCAATCCAAAGTTCCCCGCCCTTGCAGTTCCCAAACCCAATACTGCCGTTAGGGTACGCCGAGTCGTTATTCACGTCCCGGTGGATCGGCATGGTAACACCGGAGTTCAGGGCGAATGAGGTCCATACCATATCATCGGGAAGGTGTTGTTTGAGGACTTTGTTGATAAGCTTACACAGCTCAGGGAGGCTTCGGGTCCTATTGGTGTTTCCGTAGTGGTTGCCATACGCGTAGGTTCCGAAGGTACGGTAGTCGTTGTTCCCTACTTGGTTTCGTCGTGAGCCGCCTGTGTTGGTGAACGGGCATTGTTGGAGAAGCTGACACAGGCGATTGAGGTCGGGCTTAGCTTCGGGTTTGTTGAGTTGTTTGGCTTCCTGTTCCAGAACCTGGACTTGGCTGTGAGAGAGGTAGGCTTGGGGGTTGTTAGGGTCTTGCTCGGCTTCCCTACCCTGTATGGTACAACATCCACACTCCTGACCTTTGGCCTGAGCCTCGCACGTGCACATCATCCCAAGTCCAAACCCTTCCGGAAGACCAGAGTTTCCGCTACACTCCTTAACAACCTCTTGGAAGTCACCTTCCTGGCTAAGGGCTTCGTAGGTAATTCGGGCAAACTCGGGAGTGTAGGTTTGGGCCGTCCTAGCGCTGCTACCTTCGCACTTGGAGTGGTTGTAGTTTGGGGGACACCTACAGGGCTTGTTAAGTTTGTTCGCAAGTCTCGCATGCGAAGTCACCACACGCCATCCCTTCATCATCAAGTCACCATTGGTCCCCTTTAAACCCACAGCACAGCCCTTAACCACCGAAGTCAACAACCCCATCTGAAATCTCAACTTCTGAAGCACCGGAAGTCTCCAAGCTTCATTCTTCTCCCCCAAAGCAACACTGACGTGAATGCCCATCTGCAAACATGTTTTGGCAATCTCAACAGTGCTGTCGTACACGCTCATAGCAAGGGCTCGTTTGGCCTTGAGGTCTTGCTTCTGGGCTTGGCTGCGTTGATTCAGGTTTTGCAGGGTGCTAAAGGCTTGACCAGGAAGGGTGAACCACACATGCCTAGGTTTGAGACTGTAGATTTGTTCAAGCACCAGCTTACGACCCTCAGGTTTGGCCAAGTCGTGTCCATTCCACATAGAACACCTGATTGCGGACTCACTTCGCTTGGTCCTCGTTTGAAATGTTTCACACAACAAACTGTTGGGTTCACACAGCACTTCTAAGAACTCCGGACGATCTCTGCCTACCAACTCTTCAAACATGTTCGGAACTATGTTGTTTGCTCGGTGCTCCAAAGCATGACTGGCTACCATGCTCAACTCGGGTCCTGGTCCTTGAGCATCTCCTCGTCCGCTGTGGCTGCCGTCTTGCGCGGGCGGCTGTCCTTCTCGTCCTTCAGGGCCTGCACCTCCTTGGCGAGGGTCGTCACGGCCTGCACGAGCTGCTCCACCACATTGCTGGGATCGTTCGAGGAGGTAGCGGCCACCGATGTCGTCGTAGGGCTGGTCGTCTTCGTTATCTCGTTCTTCTCGATCTTCCCGGTCGTGGGGTCCTCCGTGCCGGTCTTGGGGTAGCCTTGCTCCTTGGTCTTCTCCTTGTCCTTGGCGATGATCGTCCCCAGGTCCAGCTTCCCTTTGGCCGCCGGTGGTGCAGGGGCACGCTCCACATCCTCCAACCAATTGGCGAACCTCTTCAGGTAGTCGGAGCACTGACCTTCCTTTGCGGTAACTCTCACCCATTCGCAGTAGCGGTAGTCGTGACCCTTTACCGCTTCGTAGGTCTGGTTCGCATACTTCCCGAAGCCCACCACGTCGCGCGGGGAGGCCTCCACATTCATCAGCAAGTGCACCATCGCCTTCTGCTGGAGAATGTTCATCGTCTCGTTTCCCGTGATGCGGATGCCGCACTCCTCGGTCACATACTTCTGCAACAAGGCCTTCCGGGCGCCCGCTCGGTTCAACGAAGCCACGGCCTCCTCCAGAGGCGTCTTCACCTTCTTGGTGGAGGGCGCAACGATCTCGCCCTGGGCCTCGAGCTCCTTGAGTCGTGCCAAGAGCTGCACCTTCGTCCAACTCTTCGGCGCCTCCTCGCCGTAGCTGCGGAGGCTGAGAACCATCTGGGGATGGGTCATCTTGTCCATGGTCCTCGAGGTCAAAACGCACGCGTGGCTCTCTACGATCTGAGCTGGGATTGCTGCAAAGATCACAAGCATGTGCAGCTGGTTCAGGTGGAAGTGGCGCGGGTCTCTGCACTGCTGTCTGGCTTCCGGACTGCTCCATAGTTACTTGAAAACCCCTCACATCCCTCACAACCTGAACCTGATTATCCCTCTGACCCCCAGAGTGCTTCACAGAAACATGGTTGAAGTGTGCATTCCCTGATCTATGCGCAACCTTCCTGTTTTCGTCAGGGCCAAAAACAGGAAGGAGTTGTCCCTAGTGGGGGACAAAGGAGGCTAGGTCAGGAACAGCCTGGGTGGCTTCTACCGAATTCTTCATCCAATCTTCAGTGAGTGGTAGAAGTTGGTGTCCTGTCCTGCTCCGGGTCAGCTGCAGCACGCGGTTGGGGTTGATATGGCGAAACACCGCCAAGTCGTTGGTAAAATCTATGATTGCACCAACCTTCCGCAGCATCTCCACACTCATGAGGATCGGACTCTCGCCATCTTCCAGTGTATGGATCTGCATCTCGCCGGGGACTCCACCAGCATAGACCTCGAGGCGCGCTGTGGACATGCAGCGGTTTTCCGTGGAGTTTCCGAACGAGAACACTGGAGGCGAGCGGTTGTCGATACCCTTCAGGCCGCTGCTTCCCCTTTTCTTCACATTGCCCTTCATCACCGCTTCTACTGCAGCCGCTGAGCCTATTGTCTGCGTGGCTCCACCGTCAACCACAGCCATTCCAAGGCTCACAGCTTCCGCCGTTGTCAAACCTTGGTTGTGCTCTTCGGCGCTGAAGGCGGAGGGGCCGTCCGTCTCGCTGACATAGCCGGCCACTGCCTCGCCGAAGCAGACAAAGGGGGCCTGCTGGTTCTCGGTGGTGCCTCCTTCTGCTAAGTGGGATTGGCCCTTGGATTCCCCGAGTGGCTTGTGGGGGCACTGAGCAACGCGGTGTCCTTTGATACCGCACCGCAGGCACACGATGTTGGAGTCGTCGCGGCCAGTGGTGCCGGAGGTCGAAGACGCCGAAGTTCCACGCGCGGATCCCGAGGAGGAGGGGTAGTACTTGCGGTTCTGTCGTACTTGGTGCTGCTTTTGGCGCGCTTCCTTCAACGTCCTTCGGGCCTGAAACATAGCTGCCATGGCCTCTTGGGCCACTTGCTCAGCATCCACCATCATCGCGACCCCTTCCTCGGAGAGCTCCTCCTGCAGGATCTCCTCCGTCATCTCCTCCAAGGGGTACGCCGCGGTGTCGTCGTCCTCCAAGTGGTCGCCGAGGAAACCTTGGTACCGGCGAGCGCTATCTCGCCGCTTCACATCGTTCTCGGAAAACTGGTTCCTCAGCTCCTGGGCCACTCGGAGGGGGTCAAAATTCCCTCCCAAAGCTGTCATCACAAGGTTGCGCTCGTTGGCGTCCAAGTTGGCGTCGGCAAGGAGGTACCAACCTTGGATGAACTGCGGAAGAAGGTCATCTCCCGCTTCTTGGTCCTGGCTCCTCTGTGACATGGTGGTAGAATCACTCCACGCAGTGTTGTTCCACTGGCCATTCCATGGTGAGTTCCACTGGCTTCTCCATGGTGAGTTCCACTGGTTTCCCCATTGGCGATTGCCTTGGGTTCCCCATTGTGACCAAACATCCCAATCGCCTCTCCATTGGGATGTGTTCCACTGCGTCAAAGGAGTTGGTGGGGTAGTCGAGGCTTCTGTGGTTCCTTCTGCGGTCTCCTCGTCGGCGGCGTCGTCCTCCTCGATCGTAGCCGCCGGTGTCCACTGCCTCGACCATGTCCAGGAAGAGCCATCACCGCTGCTGCGCCGGCGAGGGCCTCGGTCATCTTCGGGAGAGGGTCGTTGGGGCCGTCGTTCGTAGTGGGGCTGCACACGCTTCAAGGCTTGGCTCGCTCTCATGTAGGCCTCCGTCTTGCGGGTGATGTACTCGTTCATGCTTTCATGAGCCTTCCTTCGCGAGCCCTTGAAGTAGGTCGCCAGCAGGTCGGTCACCTCGTTGATCCTTGGTTTCCCCAAGGCCTTGCGTAGGTGGTCCATCAAGGTGGTTACGCCACCTCTGAAAGCGACCCACCCGGCTGGTTGGCCGGAGACCAGACGGCGTGCAGCGCCGGTGAGCTCCTGAACGAGCTTTGGCCCCGCCACATACCTCTTCTCCCACGTAAGAGACTGCTCCCAAAGGAGGGCTGCCTCCTCATAGCTAGTGAAAGTGCTAGCTTCGCCAGACCACGTCGGGATCCCATCTTTGGTCCGGACGCTGGTTGCAGCGGGGGCATCTGTCGTCGCACTCATCTGTATCTTCGGCAGCGTCTACACCACACTGTTCCCCCAGTCTGGTTGGGCTGTCGAAGCCGTAGGTCCCTGGATCACGAACCTGCCCTCAGGCAGGCTCCGCTACCATGTAAGTGGTAACAGATGCGGTCGTATCGGATGTTCGAGCTTCGGGAGGAAGGCGTAGTGGTTTCCAGGAAACAATGGCTCGGGCTACGCAGAGCAGCTAATCCCTGGGGCCCCACCTTGAAGGCCCTTTTGATCCTCCTTCCAGCTGCAGATGTCGCGATATCCTGCAGTCGGAGCGGAAGGGAGTGAGGGACACAAGTTTCACTTGCAGGGTTTAGTGGGTTCGGTGTTTAGGGTCTCAGGTTTCAGGTTTGAGGGTCAACGCGTGTGCTAACGAGATGCTACAAGTCTGTCATGCGGTTTGAGACACCATGGGTTTCGCCCTGGCTCTGTGCACGACCTAAATCCGAATACCCGAGCATAAATCAAGGTTCAAGAAGTCATTAGCCAGATTTCTAAGAGAGTGGTTGGGCGTATGTTTGGCCACCTGATAGACACCCAAAAGCCCTAAGCCCACATAGCCACCCTGAGCTCTGAGCCCAAACCGACCCCAAAACCTGAATGCCAAAACTCCTAACCACCTAAGCCCTCTAAACCCCTAAGCCCCTAAATTACAAAGACCCCAAGACCCCTGAACGCCAAAAGCCCTAAACCCCAAAATCCCACAGCCCCCGATTGGACTTTGAAGTAACCAGGGCGAAAAAAGTATAGACCTTTATTTCACAATGGTTCCTTTAAGGAGCAGGTACCAAAAAAAGCATTCAAGTATGGTACTCCAAACCCAGGCAAATGAATTCTGACCCGCCTCTGGCGGCATCGTTGGGTGGAGCCGTTGCCGAAGCTGGGCGACTTCCGGAGACTCTTGCCAGTGCCTGCTTTGGCGACTTTACTTGGAGGATCATGGGACTTGGGAAGTAAGGTTATAAGTACCATAATTGGGGTTATACGTATAGCTACCCTAAGTTACTAAGTCCCATGATCCTTGAAGTACTGGGTATTTAAGTTAGCATAAACAGGGATCTATTTTAAATATATGGTCCGTTAATAACTAGGGATCTATGGTAAATGCATGGTCCATAAATAGGGATCTATTGTAAACCGTATGGTTTCCTTATGATAGTAAGTTAAGTAGGATCCCTTAACAAGATCCCACTTGTAGGGCATTGTAGGGTGGGTGAAGGGGTTTATGGTGGTTGAAGGGGCTATAGGGAAGGGTGGCTTAAGGTTTAAGGATGGTGCAAGGAGGCTCTGGGGATTACCGGGTTAAGGGCGTCAGGGCGGTTAAGTAAGGGGTTTAGGGTTTAGGGTTTAGGTTAAGTAGTGCTTCGGGGCTTAGCGTATATAGTCCAGGCTTTCGGGTTTATAAGGCTGGTTTAAGCGGGATTTAAGGGGTTTGGGGTCAGTTCCAAAGTGGAGGGTCTGCCGGACAAGGAGCAGCTGCAGTAGATCTGAACTGGAGGCTAAAGTATCCACTGAAAGGGCTTCTGTAGTAACCTTTGTAGTATCCCTTAAGGGGGCTTTTTTTACTAACCTTTATCATATCCCTCTCCGAATGGCTTATCCCGCCATAGAACAAGAGGACGGCAGGCACTAGAATTAGTAAGGAATAGACAGGCCAGAGAGCTGACCTTGGGGGGACTCTTCAAGGATTCTGGGCTAGGGTGTAGCTGTTAGAGTCACACCATACTGAACTTAGAACCCTAGAAAAAATTATGATCTTAGCTGTTTCATAGGGGTTATAAAAACAAAACATGAAGAAATATTTCTAAGTACCCCTAAGGTTAGAGTCATATAGCGACTTAGGGGTTCTTGGTTTTAGGGGACTCCAATTCAACCCCACCCTACACACACACACTGACTGAAGGCACCGATGTATAGGGTATGTGTGTTGCTAAGGCTTTCTTCCTACAGGTCTTCAGGCTTCCACGCAAAGGAAAGCAAAGTCTTATCATCTCAGGAGCTGTTTGCTCTTGTTGTTTTGAGGCTTCCATCTTGTCACTACGTCCTACGCTCTGGAAAGCCTATCTAGGTGTCGATTTCAACAGCCCCCATAATTAGTTGTAATTGAAGCTCTATCTCAAACAACAATAAGGGAAATTGAAATCTTATCGCAAATCGAAACCAAATGGGGCCCGCAGGGTTACTTCCTAAGTGGTCAGATGAGGCAACAATACCAGCACCTGTGCGTGCTTGGGCCATTGGAGTTTCCGAAAATAGGGGACCCTAATACGCAACCCCAATAGAAGGATCCTTATTAGAAGGACCCCCCAAAAGAAGGTACCCCGAACTTTCGGTTTTTGAGGCCTTGGTCCAAGGCGAGATGCTGCGGTTGCATTGGCAGCATGCCTCTGTTGCCCAGGGTTTATATAAGGCTTTGGGCTGACTATGGCTTATTTTGAGAGGCTGACATTTATAGTAGGGCTTTGGGGCTCAAGGCTTCAGCGAAGGGGTTAGCTCGGATGTAAGTTACATCTTCAGAGAATCGAGCTTTGGTGAGAGAGGCCTTGCTGAAGTCTGTTGGACATTTTTTCGTGGACATGTTTTCGTGGGGACTTAGAACGTTCAGGGAATGTAGACATGGTTCACCCGGGTGTTGTGAAGCTTCTGGTTTTGCCAAAGCTCTAGCGGGCCTTGTGTCAGAACGTCGGGATATCTTGAATCGTTGCCCGAACCATGCCCTTTGAAAACCAGCATGGCAGATCACCTGATTCAACCATACCCTCAATCCCAAATCCTGAAACTAGACTCTGTATGCTACTTAAGAGTCATCCGGACAAGGTTCTAACGAGGACGAAGCAAGGTTTATGGTTTTCACCAAGTAGCGTGGGGCCGTTCAGACTTCGGGGAGTTTAGTGTCGGGTTGGATAAAGGATTAAGGGGACAAAGCCCTATTATGAATTTTAAAAAAAGCTTCTACACCTGTCAACTTTCCTGCTGAAGGCGCTCAGCCAAATCTCGCCAGCATGATACAATCAATTCCTCTCAACTACTATTTGCTTAAGAACCCCCAAAAAATAAAACATATATTCCTTATGGGGGTAATATAGGGATTATTATTTTCATTTTTTGGGGGCTTCTTAAGCAAATAGTAGTCAAGCCCAAGCAGCCTGCACTCTAGAACTCGAGATTCCTGACCGTGCATGGTTACGTCCCAGAGCCGAAAAGCGCGAAACCGATAGAGTAGAAGCTGACAAATCATGATGCCTGATTGCCGCGCCTCTTAAGATGATGATGCCTCTTGTTAGCAACACTGCTAGCCTCAATTGCTTAATCATTCTCCTTTTCGAAAAATGGCCGGGTAAGTATTATGGCAAGCTCAGCCGTGCTCGTCAAGCAGCATGTGGATGACAGAGTCAATAGTCCTGCCTCACACGACTCTGCAGTTGTAGTTGTTCAAGGCGTCAGGAAGGTGCCAGGGCTTTAAAGTTTCAGGATTCGGTGTTCAATATGTCGGATAGTAGGGCTTTCGCTTCCAGGATTTCGGGAACTCGAGGCCTCGAGTGTGCCAATGATCTCCGCGTGTGTGGTAGATCCAAAGACCGAGAAGGCTGCAAAGACCGAGCGGTACTTCAGTATAAGTTGGAACAACCGGTATGCAGAGACACAAAAAGGTATATACCTAAACCACAACCAGAAGGTTGGGATGTCTCATAACCCCTTTCTAGACAAAGCAATGATCCCACCCAAAAGTTTATGCTTGGGTCTTTTTTTGGAACCCTGGTGACCGTGTAGAGATAGCCTCGATCGTGAAATATTGCACCCCTGGCCATCATCGTCATAAGCATATCACCACCATCATAGTCATCACCATCCACAGCGCCATCGCATGGTTGATTTCAAGGGATCCGACCGAGCATCATCCCCTCATTCCTGCCGGGGCGTTGCATTTGGCAAGCCAGCTGGTGGAGCTAATGGATGACTTGTTGATGAGGGCTGTCGGACAACACCTTCCCCATCCGGGACATAGTAGGGCGGGTATCAGGGTCTGATACAGAGGATTACAAACTCTTTACGTGTCTGTGCTGCTCTATAAGAATCGAACCCAACCCTTAAGTCCGGGCGCAAGCCCTATCAGTCCAAAAGCTTTAAAGCCGCAAAGCCAACAGCCGAAGCGCTCAACCCCAGATCCTACCCTGAATCTTGCCTTTCGTGGACGGATGAATGAATACCCTAAACCCGAAACCCTCAACCCAGAACCCGCATACAACCCTTATGGATTCCCAATCGAACTTCAGCAGAATCCTTACAGAACTCCAAACCCTAAACCCCGCACCTGGATCCGTGAAGCCCTACAACCCTAGACCCTAAACCCCGGACCTGGATCCATGAAGAACGCATCACAGTCGATCCAGAGGACCCAATCGTAGCGAGGGTTCTGCTGCTCAAGGACGTTCTTTACCTGAGGTTCGGTGCAAACGGTTTAAGGTTGGAGTTTAGGACTTGTAAGGGTTTAGGGTTTTCAATGCTCTTTACCGGAGCTCCAGTGTTAATGGTTCCAGGTCGGAGTTTTGATCTTGTAGGGATTGGGGTTTTCAACGCTCTTTACCTGAGGTTTAGTGTTAATGCTATAGACCCTTGACCAGATAGACCCTGGAGTTCAGCGTTCAGAGTCTACCTGAGCCCTAAATAACCTGCCTTTCTCCGGCTCCTTCTTTTCTGATGTCCTTCGATATGTGCGCTAAGTAGGCTTTCTCGGGCTCAGGTAGTGTACATAGGTTTTTTTACTGTTCTTGAGAAGTACTAGCCTACAGCCTACCGACTGGAAAGCGGACAAACAAAGACGGAGTAGTAGTAGCAGTCGTGGTCGTCGTCGTCGTCGCAATAGGGAGCAAACAGAGCGAGTTTCTCCAACAACAGAAGCCGCAATCAGCCTAAACGGGAAGCAGTGGACGACTGTACTGGTATTCGCTGCAGCTGGAGCGGCCGCATTCACCTTCCAGAAGAACGGCTTGTGGACACCGTCGTTGATGTCCATCCTGGCAGTGCTGTCGCTGATAAGGCTTCGGAACCTCAAAAATGAAAACGTGAACCAAAGCCTTACGGCTGCAAGGAAGGACTGAAACGTTCAGGCTGTTAATCCCAAGCGTCTCGCAACAGAATGCGATTGGGGGTGTGATGCAAGGCGATGTTACTGCTAGTTGCGATGCCGGAGATCGACACAGCTGGCGTCCTCGGAACGGCTATACTGTACGAGGCAAGGTACCATTGCTATGTACAGCGGGTGACTTTGCGCAGATGAAGGAAGATGCCTGATGTAACGATCCGTGAACAAACAGTTTAGTGCCAAAGAACTCGGATTCGACTGCAGCCAGCTTGCTCTTTGGGTGCTGGAACCATACACTCCCGTCACACGTAATCATCCCCGCACGTGTTTCCTGCTCCCATGTAAATCCAAACTAACCCGCCCCAAACGAACCACATATCAAAAATATCCAAGCTGACTACTAATGAAAGCTTATGCCGAGCCCACAACTCCTGAACACCAGCAGCTTGGCGCAACATCTAGATCTGCCCGGTTAAAGAATAATGTGAGCTTCCTTAGACTCCTAATTAGTTGAATGCCCCCACCCATACGGGGAATCCGCGTAATTATGAAAGCCTTTTGAGGGAAAGAGCGCTTTTTTGACCAGGCCCAAATACACTAAAACATCAGAGAGAGCGAACAGATGCACACTTATGCCCTTGTGATTTAAATTCGTCTTCGTCGTGCAGAACATGAATGCCTTCCGGTACTTGGCATTTTACTTGACACAAACATGCAAACCTGCCTGCATTCGTTCAAGTCTGCACATTCAGCTACCTGCTTTGTTGTCGAGTTTTGCTCTTGTCGAACTCCAGATACTCCAAAGCAGCAAGATACCTTGCCTGATCCAACGGGATGCTGCATGTAATCAAGGCATGAAATCCTCAAAGTAACGGCGCTGTGATTTCTCTAAGAACCCTGAATACGAAAATCCCAACACTAAGGCTCAAAAGAGCCGAAAAGCCGTTTATAGTAAGGTCTTTGAGCCCAACAGCCTTAGAATATGCGTCCTTAGAGCCTTGGGGCAAGAACCCTCATAGAACAGATAAGGATTCTGGCTGAGGTCTGCACCCGGAAGCCAAGTTGGGCGCAATCTGCGCCGAGTTCGTGATTTGGAACAGGTCGTAGCCATGAAGTTGGGCGTAGATCCTCCGAGGGATATCTGAGAATGTTCGAACTTCCAGGGCTGGGACGTAAGGGCTTACCATTATGGAATAAGGTCCTAAAAAACCACCCCCATGATGGTTTTGGGGACCTAATTCCAGAATGGTAGTGTATATGGACCCTGTAAGTTCATAGGTTTTTGGAGTTTACCCGATAAGGCTCAAAAGAGCCGTGAAAAGCCTCATGTAGTACGGTCTTTGGGCCCAAAAGCCTTGAAACATGCGTGCTCAGAGCCTTGGGGTTAGTGTTTTCGGTTCAAACTGCTGATGGACAAAATCCTGCATGACCCTAAGGACTCTAAACTATGGGAACTATGGTATATTCCCTATAATGGGTAATGCAGGATTTTGTCCATCAGCAGAATGGCCTCGGCTTTCAGAAGCCCGGCCTTGGTATGAAGAGTTTAGGAGCCTCGAGTGAGCTATGAGGCTATCATAGAAACCTGAGGGGGGAAGGGGGGAGGGGGGGTAGGGGACCATACTTTCTTGAAATAGGCCTTATAGAACCCAGAGGGTCCACATATACTGCCATTATGCAATTTAAGTCGCAAAAGACCTTTCCCATTGTGGTTTCTGGGGGCCTAACTCCATAGTAACAGTGTAAATGGACCAAATGGGCCCTCTTGGTATGAGGCTACAGGATGTTGGAGGATCCTGCGTATGCTTGCTTTGTGGTATCGCTTCCAGAACCTTTTTTGAATTTGTTTGGCATGATAGCGAGCAGAGCGGTTTCTTTGGGACTTCTGCTGTCTGGGGTTCGCTGCAGCGTTCATGATCTGCATCTTAATTCATGGTATGAATAGCTGCCACGAGCCCCAACACCTTGTATGCAGGCTTCGTGCTTCATGCTCTTCTGCCCAAGAGGGTCCACATACACTCCTATTATGCAAATAGGTGCCCAAAACCAAATGCGGATGGTCTTTTGGGAACTAATTCCATAATAGTATAATGGACCCTCTGCGTGCCGTCAAAATGAAGACCCCGAAACTCTCGAAGCTCACACGAAGGAGCTCGTGGTTCTCTGTGCCGATGACCCGCACCGGCTCTTCCTGAACCAGCATGTCACGGGCTCCCTTGGTTTAGGGTTTGGGGTTTAGGCTCACCGATCGATTTGCGTAGCTGATCTTAAGATCTGGGCTGGAGGGTTTAGGAGATAGGACTGAAGGCTTAGGCTTCGGGGTTGGATGCTATGCATTTAGGTTGTGTGGTGGGAGCTGGGTCAGGGCCTTATTCGGGCCCCAAACTTCAAGAAGCCGCTTCCGAGCCCTTCAGAAGATTCGCTTGCCATAACTGCCTATAGGAATTCAACGTCGATCACCTACCCGTAACACCTAACTTATCATTCGATGGGTTCCCATCACAGCCATCCTCGAAGCGGACTTAGCCTTGTGCTCAAAGCGAACCCCAAGACCGCCTTGCTCCTGAAACCCAGTCCTTCAATGAGGAATACAAGCAGTAGCTTCTCTTGGGCTTAGCAACTGATCCCTCAACCTCAACAGTGAAAGTTAAGAGTTGAGATATGCGCCTTACCCCGGATCCTTCCCACACTGTATGAATCCCTCGGAACCCTGCTTGTCTCAACGCAACTGTCATCTGTGCCAAAAGCCAGAAACTCCTGAACCTGAAACTCCAGACTCCAAAGGCTGCCAACCTGAAACTCTAGACTCGCTACAGCCGTAAGAGCCTAGAGCCTAAGGGTCCATGTACCCATATAGTTAAGGGATCCTTTAAGGGTACCATAAGGGATCCTTTAAGGGATCCTTTAAGGGTACCATAAGGGATCCTTTAAGGGATCCTTTAAGGGTACCATAAGGAATCCTTTAAGGGATCCTGTAAGGGTACCTTAAGGGATCCTTTAAGGGATCCTTTAAGGGTACCATAAGGGATCCTTTAAGGGATCTATAAGGGTTCGATGAGGGTTTAGGGTATAAGGGTCCATGTACCCATATAGAGATACATGGGCCCCAATGTACCTATATAGGGACTACATTAAGGCCAGTGTATATACTATATGAGTACATGGACCCTTGGGGAAAGCCAACACTACCTACGGTCTCCATTGTAGGTCCCTCTGTTTGTTGCCTTATCGTGTTTCGTCGGGTCCTAACCATAAAACTGTTGTACCGAAAGAAAGGAACTGCATTGGAGGCTCAGCTCTAGGCAAACCCAAAAGTACCCAGAGCTTCCAAGAATTAAAGGATATACCTTAAATTATGGTAAGATCCCTAATGTTATATAAGGCATAGTCCTTAATCAAGGGATATCGAAGTCCCCTAAACCCTAAACCCTGTGGATCCCTTGTAGGAACCCTAAAAGGAACCCTTATAGATCCCTTTCAAGGGGACCCTAATAGATCCTTTTAAACCCCTACTAAACCCCTAACCCCCTAAACCCTTTTCTAATTACTAAGAGATCCCTAATATGATTTCAGGCATGTTATAATTATGTGGAGTCTCTCGGTCCCTCTAAACTTCCTGTAGATCCCGTATAGGATCCCTTTAAAGGAACCCTTATAGATCCCTTTAAAGGAACCTTTATAGATCCTTTTAAAGGAACCCGTATAGATCCCTTTAAGGGAACCCGTATAGATCCCTTTAAAGGAACCCTTATAGATCCCAAAAAAGGAACCCTTATAAATCCCTTTTTAAAAGAACCCAAGGGATCCCTCGAAACTTCGACCTCTGCGTAGGCGCAGATGGACACGATAGCCACCCGCTCGCGAAGTCGGAACTGGGGTGCGGTCCTGAGCTTGGCTATCGGGGTTTAGGGGTTTTGGGGGTTTAGGGTTTAGGGGTTTAGGGGTTTTTAGGGGTTTATAGTGACTTAAAAGGTTCCTTAAAGGGATCCATAAAGGGATCTATGGGGGTTTAGGGTTTAAAAGATCATGGGGTGAGGCTATCGGGGTTTAGGGGTTTTGGGGGGGTTTAGGGTTTAGGGGTTTAGGGGGTTTAGGGTTTAGGGGGTTTAGGGGTTGTTCCAACTTTCTGGATAGCCGCAAAACGACTTACATAGTCATTCCTCCCTTGGACAGATCCTGCCTGCGCGAACGAAGACTCGCACGAAATACCGAGCCGGAGGTCCTACGACCAAGGCCCTAGCACCGTAACCGCCACGACCGGGGCCCAGTATTCCATCTGCCTGCGAAGGAAAGAAAGTTACTGAATGCAAACGTTTACCGACTTGCTGGCCTTAGCCGGAACTCTATGACGAGTTCCATGCCATGGATGAATGGGTCCCCGGAGGTGGTAGGATAGTTGTTCAGGGCCTCAGGTCAGAAACATAAAAATCCATGATTGAGAACTGCACTTGTTCCGGCCGTCTCGTAGAGTTGGTAGATCTTGTCTCCTGGCAATGTGGTGGATGACGTATTAAATTCATTACCGAACTGGCCTTCTCCCACATGCTGTAGCAGGGCCAGCTCGCGACGATGAACCTGCTCGCACAAGCTTATTCCGTCGTCGGCTTGTGTCGTTCCCCAGCCTCCTCCGCGCACTCCCTGGACCACCACGCCGGGCACCTGAGTAGCAGTTAAAGCCGGGATTCGAACGTGAAGCACGATCAGGACCGATGCAAAGACTTGAACCGAGGCTCGTCGGGAGTAGTGGTGGAAGGGAAGAAGTAGAGCGGATCTCGCGCGGAAAAAAAAGGAAAAAAGCGAGCTCACAGCTAAGGCAAATACTCAGACCGCGGCCCGGGTAGCCTGCCATATCGACCTGAAGCGATCAAGCATGAAAAAAGACCGAGACAACCGACTTCCGAGGACGAGACTAGGACAAAAAAGGATGCTAGTTCCGATGCAAAAACAAGCTGCAGCCGATCGCACATGTATGTAAAGACGTGACAGTCGCAGACTACAAGATCGAGCCCAAAATATCATAAAATCGGTTCCGTGGCGCTGAAAAGTGAGGACTCGACAATCGACTACCAGAAAACACCATCCTGTCTAGTCCAATCTTGTTTTTGCTTGCGATTCGAGCCGCACTTCTGGCTCAGATTTCGCTCAGGCCCCGCTTGGGGCCTTCAATTTACTTAAACCTCGCCCGAGGCTCGCAACCTCTCAACTTGCTTATCCCGCTTGGGGCTCAGCCTCTCAATTTACTTAAACCTCCCGCTTGGGGCTCCATCTCTCGATTTACTTAAACCGTTCGCTTGGGGCTCGGACCTCTCAATTTACTTCGACCTCTCATTTTCCTTAAACCTCCCGATTGGAGCTCGAATGTCTCAACTTATTTCAACCTCCCGCTTGGGACTCAACCTCTCAATTTACTTGAACCTCCCGCATGGGGCTCAATGTCTGAACGTATTTCAACCTCCCGCTTGGGACTCAACCTCTCAATTTCGATCTGGAAAGACAAACTTCCACTGGAATTGTATTCTAGGAAGAAGAGGGTTCCCAATCGCAATGTCATCGTACGTTCCAAATCTAGTCGAGAAGGAATCTTCACGCTTGTTGATGTAGTTTTCAATTCTCAGGCTTAAAGCCCGTGGATTATCATAACAACCGAATACAAAATAGAGGCGCGTACAAGCAAGCAAAAGCTTGTTAACTCATATATATATATATATATATATATATATACGCATATGTGCATATACACGTACATAGATATATAGTATATATGCGTACATATACCTTCTAGAGAAGAAGAGTATATATATATATATATATATATATATATATATACATATATCCATATATATCTATATATATATATATATACAAATACAAGCAAGCGACAAAATTCAATGAATCCCTTCGTGCAAAGAAATATATTTCGCGTCGTAAAGAAATACTATGTTGCAAATGTAGCCGGTGAAGTCGTCAAACACTTGTTTCACGTAGTCCTATTCGGTCTCAATCGACAAACTCGTGATTATTACTACATCCAGGCTCGCAGTGGCGGCACATAAAATGTACAAAAATCGCTAATTCCCGTAGCAAATATATGTACAAACTCGAGCGGTCGCAGCAATGCAGTGTTTATTCTCCTGCAATACTGAGATAGAAATCGGACCTTCTTTCATTCTGGAAGTTTGGAGCGGTCGTCGTAATTGCAGTTTAATTATCTCTCTGCGAAGCTGGGGCGGCCACAGTAATTGCAGACTTTTTCTCTCGGCAGTGTTGGCGCGGTTGCAGTATTACTTTGGAGTTTTTCTCCGTGATACCGGAGCGATCGTAATAGTTCTAGGTTCGCTTCTTTCTCCAGCTCGACAACAAAGCGAACAAGAACCCATCAGAGCTTGTCATCACGTCTGCCGTCCGGACAAAACCAAAATGTGTTCGCGTGATATTTTTTATCCATGCTTCACGTCGCAATGACGATAGCGTCACCTGCCACTTTTGCACTCCACCAATTATGTGGCCGACCTCCCCCCCCCCGCATTTTTTATCCTGTCCTGCCGAGCATTACCAAAACTTGCCAAACCTTCGCTGTGGCATCAACCAGCGACGCATAGTTGAACCCGAAACTTGCCAAACTTTTGCACGGTATCAACCGCTGTGGCACGAACATCTGCACGGTGGGTTCTAACAGCCCGGATGATGATGCGTCATGCCTTCTTCAGTCACAGATCGCTTTAGACTGCGGCAGAAGAAGCTAAGGCAAGCACCCCTCTGAAGTTCCTCGCCGGTGCCGTTCAAGGAACGTCTGCAGGGTATGGACCTGGAAGGAGATAACGTGGCTTCTCAACAAATTTTTTGGTATACTGCAACACGACGTGGGTTACAACAGCGCCGGCGCGCGACCCAACTTGAAATATCCGTTTTGCGAGGAGCTGTGGCTTGCCCGGGCATTTTCAAAGCACGGCGATGCAAGTGACACGAAAAACTCGTGGCCGTAGTTTGCCCACGTAACCGCACGGGCACGGCCCTCAGTTGCGGCCGGCGGTGGCCCCAGACATGGATCCATGCAACGGGTTTTGCACCGACAATTCGCTAGCCAGGGGTATGTACTTAGCAAGAGGGTGCATATACACTACTATTATGGAAATAGTTCCAAAAAGCGTAACGGGGATGGTCTTTTGGGACATAATTCCATGATGGTACTATCTATGGACCCTCTTAAGACTTATACATGAACTGCCATGATATCATATCCGCCGAGGCCAGAGGCCCAGGCGTCTTGATGGTTACCTCAGGTACCCTCCACCTAATCCTCCTCCCTGCAGTCCAAATGTTTGGAGACACCCGTTTTTTGAGTTCGTTTGCCACCCCCTTGTGCGGCTTCCCTTCATTTTACCTGATTTGTCGGCCTCCTGTCCCCCCCCCCTCGACCCCCCCCTCCACCCCCCCTTGCCCCCGTTGCACTTGGTATCAACAACCGTGTAAAGCCTGCCGCTACACAGCCGAGGCGGGCGGCGTAGCGTTAAAAAATGTTAATATGATATCATGGCAGTTCATGTATAAGTCTTAAGAGGGTACATGGAACGGGAGGGTTAAAGGACCGACTTGAAAAACAAAACACCAAAGTTATTACCCAAATCACAGGGCTTGGATACCATAAACACGTGAAAGCCTACTGTATGGGTACTTGGACCATCTGGGTTGCTACAGTTGATAGACAAATCGTGCAGTACAGGTCATACCCAAACAATGCGCATGATGCTATCTTCCTTATGGCTGAGGATAATGCAGGCTGCTTTCCATGAGCCGTATACGCCTCGAAAGATCCACGCACCTGATTGTCCGCGCAAGTGACTTGAGATTTAGCATTCAGGGCAACGGCAATCGCTTGGTGAGTAGAAAGTCTGCCCTACTATGTCGCTCTCCTTGATGATGGCTTCGCTTCTTGCACAAGCTTTTCCGGTTCATTTCTGCTCGATCCAACATCGGGTACGGTGACTTTGTAACACGGCTGGACGCCCAGGAGCTTTCAGTCCTCTGTGTCTTCTACTACTCGTACAAGGTCAAAGAAAGCTCCTCACGAAGCGAAAGCTGAGCCCTCAGTTGTGAAATTCTGCCAGTTCTTGCTAGGCCACGTCTACCCTACAACTGCCCAGCGTAAATCGCCTCGTGTACAGCCCTTAACAACCTCAAGGAGCCCAAAAGAATAGTATCACGCAGCCCAGAAACATCAAGCACGTATATAAACTCCCTGAAGCAAAAGAACAATACTACAGACCAAGTCACTGTCCTATACAGTAACCTTAAAGGTCCATGTGTCCGAATAGTATATACTATGGCCTGACAGGAGTCCGTATGTAGCCATCTTGTGGCCAAAGTATACATCTTAGTGGCTGGGTACCCTAGCCCAAGAAGGATCACCTTTTGACGGATTATAAAGCCTAAAAGGTTACAGGCTACCTACTCAGCCCCTAAGACATATACTAGTTGGGCACATGGATCCTTAGGGAAACTGTGGGCCCACTCTGCAACCAAAGGCTCGGCGTGATGGACTCATCCTGAACGGGTGCCCAATGCTTCAGGGGTTTCCGGATTTAAGGATTCAGGGTTTAGGGGTTTAGATTTCGGGTTTAAGGTTTAGGGGTTTAGGGGTGTAGGATCTAAGGGTTTAGGTTTAGGGGCTGAGGGTTCAGGCTTCGGTTCAGGGTTTGGGGGCTTAAGGTGTAGGGTTTAAGGGTTTATAGGTTTAGGGAGCTGCTACATGAAGCAAAACAGGAAAAAACAGATCACGGCACTCCCTTCACTCGGGTTTACGGGGCTTTAGGCAGGGTTTTTGAATTCAGGGTCGGGATCTACCCTAAGCTACAGCTAGTTCAACGACTATTCCATGCCATGAATGAAGGTGTGCTCTTTTATTTTGGGGTGATATTGTTGATCTCTGGGAGTGGTTTGACGGACGGGCCCGTTTTGTTTCTGATAGGGTCGGAACAAGCTCCTATTTAGCCATATGCAGGGTTTCCATCGTCCAGCGGAAATCTGGTCTTTCGGATGACGGCTTCTTGTACGGTTGCCTTCACGGGTTTCGGGGAAGGTGAGGGCCCCAAGTGGCTCAACTAAACTGCAAAAACGACTAAGCCCTGGCGGGGTCAAAATAATTAGACAAGGGTTTTGGAGCCCATCACGCAAAATATAAAATAAGGAACCACCAATTAGTATTGGTAAGTATCTGATTAAGCCCCCATAGGGCCGTCGGTATGGTGCTTTTTGGAACTGAACGAATAAGATTTGAACCCTTGGACCCTGACCGTTTGGGCTGGGGCACGAGCAGGCTGGGGAATAAGCGCCAGAAGCCGCAATCCCAAAAACCGATCGATTTCAAGCACCCCCTGGGCCTTCAAGCCGAAACACCCTGCTGCTGATGGAACAACCCTGCATATTGCAGATCATGAAACGCACTTGAACTCCCTTGATTTAGGGCACTCAAGATGATTGCGGGATTTTGTCAATTCTTTACATGCCATAGGCCTCCCCTCAGGATATCTGTGTAATGTATATGACTTCCAAGTCTTGATATCCCAGAAGCCTTTGGCCCACAATACTTCAACATCAAAACCCTATCTCCCGAACCCCCCAGCCAGGTTGATCCGCCTGAATATACAGACTCCACGAGGGTCCATATACACTGCTATTTTGGAATTGAAAGGTGCCAAAAACATTATGGGGATGGTTTTTTGGGACCTAATTCCATCATGGTAATATATATATATATATATATATATATATGGACCCTCTGGGACTTGGACCAGTCTAAACACCATGGAATCCGAATACACGAAACACGCGGTCCTCGAGCCTCCGCACCACCTCCATCAGGTTGCGCCCGGCAAGGAGCATGTCCCAACCCTGCGAGGCTTGAGTGCTTGGGAATTTAGAGAGGGATGGTTTTTGGTTTCTCAAACCCTACACCCCTCAACCCTTTACCTACGATTTAACGACTTGAGGCATAGGAGCTGTGACATGTGAAATCGCACAGCAGCTTCCGGGTTCTCTTACCAGGGTTTATCCGGTTTGGTATGGACAAATGCACGGTTTAGGGCTTGGGGTTTAGGGCTTGGTGTCGACAAATGCATGAAAAGGGGCATTAGGAATTTCAGTGTGCTTCAGAGGGATTTAGGAAGCTTCTTTACATGGTGTGGGAAGCTCCTTGGGCTAAAGTTCAGGGGCCAAGATCCTGGGGGAGTCGGGAAGCCATGTCGGATGGAAACTTCAAGCATCCGATAAAGGCCAGGACTAGTTACATACTGTTGATGGATAAAATCCTGCATGACCCTAAGGACTCTTAACTATGGGAACTATGGTATATTCCTTATAATGGGTAATGCAGGATTTTGTCCATCAACAGTAGGTCCCCGAAACCAAAGGTGTTGGGGGCGCTGCAATCCGTGTGCATGACGCGCCCTCTCTGCCGAAGCTGCACCAAGCATACAATACTACAAACATGAACCTTTATACGAACAGCTATACAAACCATAAAGCCTTAACTGAGTCACTGAGCTCGACAACCCCAAATTAAAATTGCCAGACACAGCCCCTAAAGACTTCGAAGTATCCTCTGAAGATAGACTTCAGGCTTTAGGGGCTTTTGGGTTCAGGGTTCAGCTATCGCATCCCGGAGCCCGAAAGCTTGAACCCGAAAACCCGAAAACCCTAAAACCCTAAACCCTAAACCCTAAACCCTAAACCCTAAAACCCTAAACCTTAAACCCTAAAACCCTAAACCCTAAAACCCTAAACCCTAAACCCTAAACCCTAAACCCTAAATTCCCTAAACCCTAAACCCTAAACCTTAAACCCTAAACCCTAAAGCCCTAAAGCCCTAAACCCTAAAGCCCTAAAACCCTAAACCTTAAACTCTAAAACCCTAAACTCTCTGAAGCCCCCAGGCTGCCTGGACCGGCCAAGGAGTGCACTCCTTGGTGCAGTGTGTAGGGGTAGAGTTCCTTTAACGGGCTACTATCAGGGTACTATAAGGGTTCCTTCAAAGGGCTCTATAAGGGTTCATATTGGGAGTTTCCGAAAACAGGGGCCCTAATATAGTACCCTAAATATTCTTAGATTCCCTCTCCGAGGTTTAAGCTGCTAAAGGCGATTGGATATTCGGGTTTCATGGGCTTCAAGTCTTGAACTAAGTGGGCTTGGTATAACAGGGCTTGATATGGCTTAACGGTCGTGTCTGACGATAGTGTACTAGGTTTGATGATGTTGGATAGGGCTCAAAAAAAAAAGATTAGTGGATTCAGGTTTTCCTAATCTTGCAGGACTTTATTACTTAAAGAATCATGGGACTTAGTAAGTAGGGATAATTTTAGGGTAACCATACTTCTAAACCCAATCAGGGTACTTATAACCTTACTTACTAAGTCCCATGATCCTCCAAGTAGTGTGAGGACATGAAGGCTCCCGCTTTGGTTGAAAGACTCCTGGCACGATCACGATCATCACTTCGTTGCTGAGTTCCTAAGCCCCCAAAACGTGTACACTCTCAGTTATATAGTGGGTAATACTATGCCTAAAAGCGGAAAGTGTATCCACCCAGCTACCAAGATCATCATCATCATCTACCTGTCTTCCTGGGCAATCTCGTTGTCATCATCATTCCCTTGAACCCTAAATCCCATGAGCACTAACTCTACTATCATGACTACCCTAAGGCCCCAAAGTAGTTCCTTTTTGCGGTTCATATTTAGAATCCTATTCGGTAATCCCAAAAAGGAGCTACTTTGGGGCCTATGACTATTTGCCTCGGACGATTTGCCTGCACGGAGGCCGATTGTTTGGCCAGTTCGAAAGCCGTTGCTCAGGGGGAGAGCTTGGGGTTTTAGTTGATTTGTCCTAGGGTTTAAATGTAAGGCTCGCGTTCAGCTGTAAACTCCAGGAGCTGTCTGCAGCCGGTGTTCGCTGAAGCCCTTGTCCCGCACGAAGATAAAGCCCATGTGGACGAATGCCTCACCGTTGCGTTGCTAAAACCTTACAGTCAAACCTTTGAGGGTTGAAATGCAGTCCTTAAGTAGGTGGCCACTGGTATTTAACACGGACCCACAGCCAATTACTTACTCTCATTTTCTCTCTCTCTCTCTCTCTCTCTCTCTCTCTCTCTCTCTCTCTCTCTCTCTCTCTCTCTCTCTCTCTCTCTCTCTCTCTCTCTCTCTCTCTCTCTCTCTCTCTCTCTCCAGCAAACAGCACGACGGGCGTAGGTAGGTAAGTATGCGCAAATACATACATACATACATACATACATGCATACATATACATACATGCATACATACATATATATATATATATATACATATTAGGTGTGTGTATGTAATATATATATATATATATATATATATATATTCATGTTCATATTTATAATCATTGATATTCATATTTATATCTATATATGTGTGTGTGGATGTTCGTTGATTTGCGTTTTTGCTGACTGTCACACACACACATATATATATATATATATGTATGTATTCTATATAATATAAACGTATATATCGTACAAATATGTTTTGTATAATGCAAGCATACACAAAGAATATGCATCCTGTTACTGCGTACTGATTCTTGCATGTGACTCAGCAACGGGAGGCTTTGGCCATGGCAATGGGTTCTGCAGAAACGGCACCTTCCTCATCCAACGGGTGCATGCAATGCGAATCCTACTGGTACTAATTAATTGGGACCTTAGGCCACACATTCGGTGTCCGAACGTGTGCCGTGCTTGCATCCCCTCAAAGAGAAGTGTCTCATCACGGCCCCTGGCAACTGCGACCTCCCCGACACCGAAGCCTAGGCCTGTTCAACCCTCAGTGATAGCGATCCGCAGAAAGCCAGGGCCCCGACTAAAGCCCGTCGCATGCGACCTCTTCTGGCTCATAACGGCTTAGGGCTTCGTAGTGTCTAAGGAAGGTTTACCCTAAGGGTCCAAGTAGTCCTTATTTATGGTTTTTGATACCTAAAAAGGCCCTATAGTACTAAAATAGGGAGTACTTGGACCCTCTGGGTTAGGGTTTAGATCGAAGGCTTCGGCACTAGCAAGCTTCCGCATTCAGGTGAGGTGCTGTAAAGGCCTTCTAAGCTTGAACTGGACATGAGCTTTTGTATGATCACCTGTCATCCTTTTAAGCCGGATGAGCAAGAGGCCTGTTGGCTTAATGACTGGACTTCCGTGGCCTGTGTTGAACTCAAACCCGGGGGAAAGGGGCGGGGAAGCCTCTGGCTCTGCCCCTCCTGGTCCATGTACTCATATAGTATATACATTGGCCTTAATGTAGTCCCTATATAGGTACTTTGGGGCCCATGTATCTCTATATGGGTACATGGACCCTTAGGCTGCGGAACCTAATCAGCAAGCATTGGCAGGTGCATTGAGCTCGATGTCAATTCTACGACTTCCACTTTAAAGCCCTAAACCCTAAACCCTACAGCCTAAACCCTAAACTCTAAACCCTACAACCCTAAAACCCTAAAGCCCTAGACCCAAAACCCAAGACCCTAAACCCTAAAACCCTAAACCCTAAAACCCTAAACCCTAAGCCGCCTCCTGATGACTTCTTTGGGGGCTTCAGGTTCAAGGCTCAAGGCCCAACCCCCCCAAGCCCGTAACCGGCGTACGCCCTAGGCTCTCAACCCTTCGGATGCTGCATATAGGGGGGTACCTTATTTTGGGGTCCTTATAGTAAGGGTCCTACTTTTTAGGATAATACCTAGAGACTCATGCCCTACCCCTTTTTCAGGAAACCTAATTTTCTGGTTAGGATCTGCTAGCTTACAAAGTAGGCGCCCTAAAACAGGGGAAGGGTATGAGCCTCTAGGTAGTTGGCGGATCCTGACAAACCCTGAAAGACAACATTCAAGATTAAAAAGGCCCCGAGAAAAATCACCAGCATGACAGTTTTCTCAGGACGTCGTTTTACAAAGGGCCACCATATGATACCCCTAGAAGCCCTTAGAAGGAAAGCTGACAGGAACCTATAATTCAACGACAACATGAAAAGGAACCTCTAAGCTCTAAAACAGGCTCCACCAAGTGCCTTGAAAGGCGAAGCTTTGCGCCAAGGAAAAATACCTTCGTTTGTGCAGTTGTTGCCGGGTTTTGGGTTTAAGGTTTAGGGTTCGGGGTTCAGGATTTGAAGTTTAGGGTTTAGGGGCTCAGAATTAGGGTTTAGGGTGTAGGGCTTCGGGTTTGGAGGTTGGGGTTTGGGTGTTGCTGCAAAAGGAGTCAGTTTTAATTGGAAACCCACCGAAACACCTTCGCGTCTGGAGTCTTGGGTTTCCTGTGTCGCACTGTCGCGGAGGGGAGGGGGGAGGTGGCGGAGCAGCACAACGCGTCAACTTGGAGTTGAGGGTTTAGGGCTTGGAATCGAGGGCTAGCACCCACAAATCCCATCAGCACCCACATGCTTCTTGGGGACTATGGAGCTCAGCGTTCGGACAATCCGGTGACAAAGCCAATGTCAAACTTTCTGATGCCCTGCAGCCCCGAAGTTACTTGGAGGTTCATGGGTAGTTATAAGTAGGGTTGTACGTGTCCTAATGTAGGTTATAACTATATTTATGCTACTTATAACCCCACTTATAACTACCCATGAACCTCCAAGTATGTACCCTAAACGAGAACCCTGTTCGCACAGCCCCAAGATGTCCCAAGCAAACCATTAAGCCTAAACCCGAAGCCACTCTGAAGCCGCGGGACGTTGCAGCCACGGCCAGCGGGCATTCGAAAGCAAACCAAAAGCGCCTCACAGCCAAAGCATGACGGTCGGTTAGGGTAGTTTCGGGTTTGTTGTAGAATAGACTTTCGGATTTCTTGAACACTGGGTTGAGTGTTTGGAGGTGCTTTCGCACCTGCCAGCAGTATGTCTCTCTGTTAGAAAGAAGTCAAGCCTGAACACAAACCATTTGAAGCATGCCCGTCATAGAGGAACAACAACATTTTTCCGGCGCTGGTTTGAAAAGAACAGCCAATGACTGGGCTGCTTGGAGGCGCAGGAAAATGCGATTCCTGCTGATGATGTAAGGAATCAAGGGTTCGAGTCTCGCGAGGTCCAAGTTTTCTCTGCGTTGCCCACTACTATTATGGAGTTAGTCCCAAAAACCATAATGGGGATGGTCTTTTGGGACCTAGTTCCATAATGGTAGTATATATGCAGCCTCTGGTTCCTAGTTGGATTCTTCAAACGCAGAGATTGTCTGTACAGGATTGCGTCTCGTCGGCTCTGAATCCAAGACCCATCGCTCCCACGCAAGGTGCCCATCGTCAAACCCAGAACCCATGATATAGGGGCTTTCATAAGTAGAATAGGGTTTGGGGCCCATTACACTACTACAAGTGCAATAACGAACCCCCAAGATAGCATTGGACATGCGAAAGGCTTGAATGCCGAAAGCATCGGCCATTCACATTGCTAACCCCAGCCTTGTCACGGCCTCCAGCATCGACAGGACTGCCTCGAAACACAAACAAGCGGGCAGGGCTTCTGCAATCCGTCAATAAGATCCATGAAAGGGCAGCATCAGGTGTGTATTGCTGGAAGCAGCATGCCTGCATGCAACAAGGCCGATAGAGTTTCTGATGAAGTTTTGCATGCCGTCCATGTCATGGCGTTGTAATTCCTGCAGCCCTGCATTCCAAATCCAGCCTTGTTAAACCATTCAAAGCCCTAAACCCTTCCCATGCAAACCGCTGTGGTTATCTGTAATTAGTTGCCTCTTGGCTGAGCAAATCTACTGTTAGGGTTTCTCCATGTTTTTGGCTTGCAAGTTTAGGATTTACAGTTCGAAGTTCAAGAGTTTACCGCAAACCCCTGACGCGGGCTTAATGTCCTCCAGTTGTTTGCTGTTTGGCTCCCATAGCCAGCAGCATCCACACTTTCCAATATCCGCAAGCGCCCCATACACTCAAAAAACCTTACTACTACAAGCCCTATAGTAGAAGCCAGAAAGTTGGAACATCAATATCCTCATGCCCTTGAGGTCAAGTAATTAAACGGGATCCTAACACTAATCCTCCAAAAGCCATGTTCCAACTATAAAGCCCAAAAGGTCCAAGTACCATTGTAGTAGGTATTTGGGTCCCCAAAGTACATGCTGTACCATTACTTGGACCCTTTGGGAAGTGTTTGGCAGGCAACCCTGTGCTTCGGTTTTGAAGGTCTTCCCGCCTGCTGCGATCCCCGCGCATCGCCTGCAAAGACCAGAGACCTCCAGGAAGCCGTCGGGCGTTCAGGGCCTATAGGGGCCAGGCCTTGACAATTAGAGAATCCTACTCTTTTGGGGTTATAGGGCCAGGGTTTCTTAATCAGGCTCCTAGATTAGGATTTTTCAGCCTTTTCGGTCGTGCCAGGCCAGATATCGGATTCCAGGTCCGGCCGGAGCTACTGGCCGAGACCTTACGTATGAGGGTGTCGGCGCTCCATAATACTTTTATTGTTACTCATTGCTATCCATCTTCTTCTCATTATTCTTGTTATGCCTTTATATGATTACTTCCATGCCAGTATCATTAGCCAAAACAAAGTGGACTCACAAGCTGCGATCGATGTCGTCCGCACGGGCTTAACACCAGCCCCACTTTGAGGTTCATGGGGCCTAAAATCCACCCTACTTGCAGGCTCATGGGCAGTTTTGACCAGGGCCATTCCCCGAATATGGGTTATAGCTATAGCTATCCTACTTACAATCTCCCACTTATAACTACCCATGAACCTCCAAGTGGCAGCTGTTGCTTTTTCAGCCTTGCTCACCACCTGCTTTCCCTTCGAAACGAAGTCCCATAATCCTGAGCAAAGCGAAGCCTATAAAGTCCCATCAAACCTATAAGCTCCATATGCCCGATAAACGCCTGCACTCTCATAAACCCGGAAGCCTTAACCCAAGAAAGGCGAACGTCTGAAGCCTAAAGTGGTCATTCGGCTGATGCGCACCTGGCATGGTACAGCTGCTCGTGGTAGAGCGTCCAATCGAAACCATAATCCTTGCACAGACTCTATGGTTTGGGCGGGGCTTCTTTTCAAAGTGTTGAGCTGAGGGCTTACAGCCCTTTCTTTTCTTCCGACATAACCTTCTTTTGCGGCATGTCCGCATGAAAACATACATAGATTACAGGCTTTCCGAGGAACTCTACAAACTAGCTTCAGGCAGTTGAAGGCAAACCTTTGTAAGGCCCAATGAAGGCCCTAAGGCTCGCCAAGTTCAGGCCCAAGAGGCCCCAAAGTAGTTCCTTTTTGGGATTACCTAACAGGATTCGAAATATGAACCCCAAAAAAGAACTACTTTAGGGCCCTAGGGTAAACCCTGAATAAGCCCTCCAAATTCTGCATTTGCGGAGCCTGAGGCAGTTTAAGGTAAACCTTTGTAAGGCCCGATGGCCCTAAGGCTCGACAAGTGCAGGCCGAGCTTCCGAGGGGCACTCCTCGGATATTTCAATCAGCGAGTAGTCGCACCTGGGCTCGGGATTGAAAACGGTTTCGGTTTAGGGTTTCGGGTTTAGGGTTTCGGGTTTATAGGTTATAGGGTTTAGGGTTTAGGGACGCTTATACCATGGGAGTTTCCCTTTTTTAGGGGTGCTTTACTTTTGGGGGTCCTTATAATTCTATTCAGGAAACTATATTAGGGTCCCCTATTTTCGGAAACTGCTACATAGGTTGTATAAACCAAAGGGTCCAAGTACCATTATCGTAGATATGTGGGTCCCCAAAGTATATACTATACCATGACTTGAACCCTTTGGGTAAGTGCTTACGGTTGTATTGGCGTGGGGGTTTGGAGCTTAGGGCCTTGTAGGGTTGAAGTTTCGTTGGCGTTTAGGGTTGTATGCGGCTCAGGGTTGTTTGAAGGGGCTCAGGGGTTTCACTGAATTAAGGGTTTCATGGGGTCAAAGATTTTAAAGGTTCGCGGGTGATTTTAGGGTGGTTTCAGGTGATTTTGGGTGATTTAAGAATTTTAGCTGATTCTTAGGGGTTATAATGCCCCCCAAAAAAACTTTCGAAGTACCCCTAAGTTCAGGGTTTATGGTTTGCCATGCCACGGACATCAGGCCCGGGGCGCCACCGTGCACCATGATGCACGCCGCATTCCCGAAGGCCGTCAATCGCCACAAAACGCAGTACAAGCACGCCCCCGAGCCATAAAGTCCCTAAGCACTCATATAGTCATACTTGGTACAAGGTATCTGTACTTTTGGGGCCGGAATATCTACGGAATCGGTTCTTAGACGTTTTGCGGGAGGGCCGAGACGACTATGGACCTTCCGAGTGGCTGAGGCGCTGCCGCAGCGACGGCCAGAAGAGCGAAGCGGGAAATGGCCATGGGCTCAAAGCCAGCGTCGCTCGAGAAAATTAAAGTTTCGGGCTAGCGCTTTTTGGGGATCCACTGTTAAAGTTCATCGTCCAAAATAATGTCGGCTGATGCTCGGATGTTTAGGGTGTTGTCATCTTGAGGCCTTGGGTGTTGTGGACTTTCGAGGTGATGGGGTTTCCGATGGCATCGGGGTTTCGAACAGTTTGGGGCTGCAGGGCTTACGGCTGAAGGTTTTCGGGTGTGACTCAGAGTTCAGGGCTTGCGAGACCCTAAACCCTGAACCCAAACCCTAAACCTTAAACCCTAAACCCTAAGACCCTAAACCCAAACCCGTTGCTGTTTGACGTCTGAGGCGATGACAAAGTGAATCGGAGGACAGGATTCGGTATGTGGGAGTTTCCGAAAATTCGGGGTACCTTAGTTTCGGGGGTCCTTATAATAAGAATCCTACTTTTAAAGGTACTATGTTGAGGTCCCCTATTTTCGGAAACCCCATGTGAGCTAGCCGAAATCAGGGCATGGTGCAGTGCGCACACTGTGCTAGTACTTGCTCGGGCTTATCACAACCCATAAATCCTTGCGGTAACCCGTATGTTTTGTACAATCACTGAGGCCCTAAGCACGAGAGACGAACTTGGTGGCTGCGCATATGTTGAATCCGCTCCTCAAGCAATAGTCGCCATTACGGGTTTCGGGTTTACGGGTTTCGAAGATTAGAAGGTTTACTGCAGGCTCCACCGCCCTGAAGCTAACCCCTCCGACCGATCAACCATACAATCCAAACTGCTAAAAATGCAGTTATCCTAAGACTCCAAGTGTACAAATAGTACCTACGTTGGGGTCTAAAGTCTATGAGCAGTACCTACTTTCGGCTATTCGGAATCCTAGGGTTAATATACAGCCCCTCTAACAGCATACCTGGGCCCGAAACTTCATTGCGACTAGTGAACCCAGACGCGAAACTTCGAAACAACGCAACGCATGCACAAAGATACGAATAACGTTCTGCCTACATGGTGAGTTGTTACTCCTCCCACTAACCGCACAACTTTATACCTCGGCGGAGCTACCATTAAGGATCCGTAACGGCGGCAACGACGTGCGGGATACCTAGTTATTATAGACTATATAGGATGCCCAGTAACCCGGGAATAAGAAGGGCTCCCTTTTTGGTATTGGGTGACTTTATAAAGGAACCTGGAACTACAAAAAACTGGGCATCCTAGCCCCTAATTCTCGGAAACCCTAAACCCTTTATAGAACCCTTATAGACCCCTTTAAGGAACCCTTATAAATCCCTTTAAAGGTACCCCTAATAAGGGTATCCTAGGAAAGAGGCTTCCCAACGAGCAAGGACTCCTGATGCAGACTAGGTGGGGCTTTTAAAGCCTTTGAAAAATATTAGTAAATAACCCTAAGGGTCCATGTACCCATATAGAGATACATGGGCCTCAAAGTACCTATATAGGGACTACATTTAGGCCAATGTATATACTATAAGAGTACATGGACCCTTAGGGTAAGATCCTCTTAAGCCCAATAAGGGAAAATATAAAATGTCCCAAAGCCCTACCTAGCAGAGACCCAGATGCTAAAAAAATAAGTCCTGGAGTCCTAGACTTGGGCTAGGGGGGTGTACGTGTTGGGGGGGGGGACCCCCTAGTATACATTTCCGGGCCCTCACTGCGTAGCCCGACCCCCCCAACATTATACATTTCTAGCTCTCTTGCTGGTATGTCCAGGATCTGCCCGTGTATCGCCAACCCCCCCACAGAATACATTACGGACCCCCCCACATAATACATTTCCAGCTCCTGTACACGGTGACATGCGAGTGACATCTGACATGCGAGTGCGATCAGAATGCGTGATGATGCTGCTGCTGCTGCTGCTGCTGCTGCTGCTGCTGCTGCTGCTGCGGCTACTGCTGCTGCTGCAGCTGCTGCTGCTACTGTTGCTCTGCTGCTGCTGCTGCTGCTGCTGCTGCTGCTGCTGCTGCTGCTGCACTGCTGCTGCTACTACTGTTGCTCTGCTGCTGCTGCTGCTGCGGCTGCTGCTGCTGCTCTGCTGCTGCTGCTGCTGCTGCTGCTGCTGCTGCTGCTGCTGCTGCTAATGCTGCACTGCTAATGCTGCACTGATGCCGCTGCTGCTGCTTCCGTTGCTCGGGTTTCAGGGTTTGGGCTTGACGTGTACTGGCAGCAACACAAAAGGCAGATCGAGACATCCCTCGCCGACGTTTTCGCTCACCCCTCGAGCTTCCAGTCAGCTGCTGCCCGCCCCACGGGCGGCAGATAATTAACGTGCAAGGGCCACGATGGGGCAACTCTGGAGCGGCGCCGGCATTGCCTGCGACATCTCGCGGAAGAACTGCGGGATCTTGCTTTGCTTTCCCGGCAACGGCACCAGATTCTGGAACCGATGAAAAACGAAGCACTGGAAGCTCAAAGGAGTGCTGTCCTTCGCGCACGAAGGAGAACAAGCAGTATACTGTCGCTCCATGAAAGGCGCCACCACCTGCTTCAAAGCCTCCCATTCCCACTTCTCTGGCAGTTCCAACGGCCTCCCCGTGGCATGAAAATGCCACAGGCGCAGCTCCTCAGAGTATGCCATGATGTTCTTCCGCCCCAATGCATTCTGCGGGAAATGCTCCGCCGACCAGTATGCCACATCCTTCTTCTTCGTTTCCAGAGGCGGCACCTTCGAACGCAGCTCGCATACTGCTTTCACCGCGTCGGCCTCCACAGCCACGCGAAGCCTGATCAGGCGCGCAGGACTGCCGAACGTAGCAGAAACCAAGCTCTCTACTGCATCCCCTGTCTACACAGCATGCTAGAACCCCAGATCGTGCAGCGGCAGCCTCAATCTGCTCTCCTCGAAACTCGCCCTGTCGGGGTTGATCTCGCCGAGGACGGTGCCCTGGCTGGAAATCGGGTCCAGGATGAGTATCGGATTGCAGCAGCTGGCCTCGAAGATGGTCCGGGTTCCATCTTTGGGCTGCTCGTCGGCCGGTGTCAAAAGGCAGCAGTGCAGCTTGCTGCAGTACTCGCACTCGAGAGGATCAGCCACAATCTTGCACACGGTGGAGGATTTCTTGGCATTCCGCTTTCGGAAAAGCGCTCCTCGAAAGACAGAAAGCACCACGGCAAGCTTGGGTCTGTCGCCGGCGTTAACACGAATGGCTAAGAGCTGATAAGCCCTCTTTTCACCGGCACCGGTCACAGGACGAAATGACGTCGCCTCCATAATGGGCGCATCGGCGCTGTTGCCGGCGACGACCCTAGGCAGGGAGGACGGCGTGAGCCCCAACCCTTGGTTCCCGTCTTAGTGTACTTGTATGCAGACCCAACCCCACCCGGAAATGCAATTCGGGCTGAGGTTGGGTCCTCAGTCTAATTAAACCAATCCCGAAGTCGGGTCCGGAATCTATTTACACCAATTCAGCCGTGGCGCTTGACGCATCGCTTCTGGAAGCTGCTCCAGAGAGCAGCTCGCGAATGGCGGCTCGCACAGGAGACATACGCACGTTGGCACTGGGCAAGATGATGTTCCATCTTCTGCTGCTCATTGAGCTCCCGCGGGCCGTAGATTTGCGCAGCGCTCAAGCAGCCTTCCGCGGCTCGGGCATGGTTCACGAACTCAGTGACCGGAGGGAGAAGCAACTCCAGTCGCCGCAACATGTCCTGGTCCGTCTCATCCGGCCGGATGTCGACCTGGCCGAGCCCAGCAGCAGCGAGGATGCCCTCCAAGGTCTTGGGCGACGGCCGACTTTTTTTCGTGCAAGGGTCCGCAACTACATCCGGAGCCTCAGCAACGACCGGGGAGTCCGTCGCTTGGGGAACTTCCTCACCGTCCATGAAATCCTGGATTTCTCGCTGCAGTCTTTTCTGTGTTTCCAGGTTGGAAAACACAGCCGATGCATCCTCGGACCCAGCCTCATCCGATGCAGCCTGGTCCTCAGCCTCGTTGGCCTCCACGTCGCTGAGCACCTCCTCATCGCTGTCATTGTCGTCTGTTGACAGAACCAGAGACTGAGGCCAGAGGAGTCGCTCCCCATCTGCTTTGTACCAGTCCCTGATTTGCTCAGCGATCTGAAATTTGGATGCACCTGTGTGGATGCAGCTCAAGAACCTGCATGTGACATCAAAGGTCTCCTGGGCTATGTGGGAGACCGAAGCATCTGCAAGCCCGGACCATGTCCTGCAGTTTTTCACGTGGCAAGCCGCGCGACTCTGCTTTGCGTGCACATGCTGTGTCGACAGCACAGCATCTTTCACAGTCGGCGTCCCACGCCAACAGGCCTTTATCTGGCCGAAGTGGCATTCGGCCGCCCGCTCAGTGCTTCGTTCTGGAGACCATTCCAGATTGGCCGGCCAATCCAGAACTCGCTGCACCGCATGTCCAGCTAGAGTCAAGGAGTGGCGAAGCGTCAACAAATGCATGAGGTGACGCTCGAAGAACTTGCCGGCAGATCCTCTCGAGACGGAACACAGATGCAGGAGGATATAGTAGGAGGTGAGGGAATTGCGAAGCACCTCTTCCGGAGTAAAGAAATGGCCGCACGTCCACGACCCGATCAGCAGCGTGCAGACGAGCTGATATAGAGCCAGTCCCACGCTGTCCCAGGTTTTGGCCAAGCTGCCGCTCATGAGCCAGACCGCATCCTTGGTTCTCATGGAATCCACGCCCAAGAAACTGGTCATGGGGCAGCCGTGGCTCACGACGCTGGTGACGTCCACCTTGTTTGCTTAGAACGAAGTAAGCCGGTTTCGTAAGACAACAGAAGCGAGCCCCATGGCGCACAATTGGACCTCTAGGCTAGCTTGCGACTCAGCTGCGAAAGCATTGCCAATCATGGCTTTGCGGACACCGGAACGGAGATTGCGCGAGAGGGCTTTTTGAAGGTGCTCTGGATCCAGGCCACCGAAGATCTGGTGATGCCGGTCAAACCAGATTGTGCTGAAGGCCCATAACGGAATAGGTGGCCTCCTGCCAGCCACACCTGTCAAGGGGACGGCGTGAGCCCCCCATGCCCGGACTCGACCCCTACGTGAACCACCCGCAGACCCATCCTTCGATCAAAACGCATTTCCGCCCTAGGTTAGGTCTCCAATGTGTTCCAGCCATTTCCAGGCCCTAATGCAAGAAGGCGAGGGACGTGCAATCCAAATAAAATCAGGCTACAAAGCAGAAGACACCATCAGGCGGCCAAGCCACATCTCGCCCAGAAGTCTGGGGGGTCGGGCATCGGGAACCCCAGGAATGCCAGATTCAAGCTGTAGTGCGAGCCGTGCCCGTCGTAGCCGCAGGAGACCGGCGGCACACCGTTCGCCGCAACACACTCCAGCAGCACTTTGCTCGTCTCCTCGGCAATCTGTCTGCCGTTTATGTGTCCGGGCTTCCTCGGCTGGAAGGAGACCTGCATGGGGCAGGGCAATGGCAGAGCCAGGCGGCCAAAACAGGTGGAGCAAACCTGAACCTATCGGCCCCTGCCTGCCACACCTGACTGTCGGTGTCTCCACGCTTTACCATGTAGACAAGCGCCAGCTGAGCTCTCTCGTCGGCCGGCAGGTTGGTTTCATTCCCCGGCAGGATTGCTCGATCTCCACATCCGCCAACGATCACAGGCTGCGGCCCCCAGCCGTACAGCAAACGGTAGCTTGCCGCGAAAGCAGAATCATCCCAGAGCAAGACATAATTCCGTTTGCTCTTGCACCTCAAGTAATCCAGAGACAGGGCGATGTTACAATGTTCACTCGCAGCTGTTCCTGGGATGCCATGAAGCTCCTGGGCAGGCGGCTGTCCTGGAGATCCAATGCCCCCCGACCCTTATTGGCATTGATGCCGAACTCTCGCATGAGGGAGCTCTGCGACAGACCTTACACACGCCGTGTATGCAATGCGCTGGGAACAAAATCAACAGACCTGCTTGGGTCTGGGGACATCCACTACTCAGATACAGCTTGCGTCAAGCATCGGGCTGCCAGGGTGAATCCGATCTCGCTGACCAAGGTGTCGTCTATTCCCTCCATTCTCGACGCCCGGACGCGGCTGAGACCACGATTCTTCCTTAGCTTCATGCTCCGTCTACGGGCCGCAAGACGTTTTGCAACAGGCTCCCACAGCATGCTGCCAGGGCGCTTGTCGCACATGGAAACCATAAACAGGACCAAAGCCTGCAGAAGGTCGTGGCCTTGCAACGCCCCCTCGGCAATGAGGGTTGCTGCCTTCACCTCTGCGGGCCGGCTTTGACTGGAGGCTAATCCAGCAGCTAGCCGCTCCACCAACTGTCGATGCTCCGGTGCCTGCTGAATCTCTCCTAGATGATAAGAGAGCCAATCGAGGCGCGACTGGATGAACTGATGAAGAGCCTGGTCCAGCCTGATGCTCGCAAACGTGCTGCGAACCCGAGAAAGCATCTCTGCATAGTTCAGGTTGGCGACCCTGTCCAAGTCGGCCTGCAGATGCAGATGCTGGATGTAGTCTGCCGACCGCATTTCCTCGAGGTGGTCCTGGACGTCCTGGCTCTGCCTCCCGAGCAGCAAATGCAGCAGCTGCACCTGGTCGATTTTGTATGCCCAGCCACAAATGTGGCGCATGACCTTTGTCGACTGTGCCTGACGCTCACAGTCGCGGCAGCTGCTGCGTCCGAAGGGGCACAGGAATGGCGTTTGTGCTCGCAAGCAGGTCTGGGCCCGCAGGATCAGGTGTCCCGTGTCGGGCTCCCGGAAGAGACTGCAAGGCCGAGGTTTCGTTGTGTCGATGCATCCGGCCGCCAACCAACGTCTGCAAGAGCCGAGTGCCGCGGCTAGGAGCATGGTGCCATCGGCCAGGTCCAAGTCCAGCCCCTGGCATGCCTCCGTGCCTGAGGTCGCCGCAGCGGAAACTTCGGGCACAGCTGTCTCTGTCAAGCTGTCGGAAGTCGAGCCCGGAGAGTCCGGTAAACGACTTGGAGCTTTCTTCGTCTGCTGTGCCTTCCAGGCTGAAAGCAAGGCTTGGTGCTGCTTCCCTTGTTCGTGTTGCCGCATCCAGTAGTCCGTGCTGTCCCGCTGCGCATTGACAACACTGAGGCACAGGCTGCACCTGAACAGCAGCCCATTGTGCAGCCCGGGCACAGGCAATTGCTGGAAAACTCCCTTCCTGCAGTCCCGCTCCAACCACTCCCACAGGCTGAAGCGCGGCTCTGTGTCCTTGTCCTTTGTTCTTGGACCTCCCAACGGTGGCAACACAACGCCTGTGTCGGGCGTCGCCCGTTTCTTCCTGGGTCGAGGCTGGATGTCCTCGCCGGCTGCTCTGCAAATGTCATGGCCTTCCACCAGAGCCTGGCAAGCTCGGCAGTCCTGGCATTCCTGGACAGGCTCCCAGCCAGCAATCCAAGCCGCGAACTCTTTCCAATGCCCTTTACCAGGAGCCTTTCCCAGTTTGTAGTGCTTGGACTGGAATGTCCTGCTACCGTGAGGCTCCGATAGTGTACTTTGCGCAACGCCGGAGCAGCGTACATCATTATGATGTATTTTGTTTCCACTGATGTTTTATAGTTCCAACATCTCCAACACGGAGATTTGACTATATCTATGCGTTTGAGTCGGGACGAAAAAACAGAAAGAACCCCATAAAACCCCACTTTCGGCTCAAACTTGTCATTATAACCAGCGCCTCGAGAGAGAAAAAAAGAAGAAGACTATATATGTATATATATATATATATATATATACACATGCATACATACAGCATAGATATATATATATATATATATATGTAGATATTATACACATGCACACTCTCGTACACACTCTCAGTTTTCGCTCGCTTGAACTTGCAAGCCTCCCAACATCACAGCCCTCATGTCCTTTTTGCAAGATTTCAGACGATCGAGTCGAAGCACTGCTGGCGGCTCTGCTGTCCGAGAGCAGAAATCTTCCATGGCAGGTTCGAGAGCATGCTGCGACAGACCTTCTCGAAGCGACAATTCTCATGTTGTAGCGCTTGCATCTTGAGGGATGCGACGGAGCGAACAATAGAGTTTTATTGAAGCAGAGCTCTGAATGCATGCCATGAGCTCCCTTTCGCGGAAGAAGCATGGATCAGCAGTCAGCAGTTCGAGGCGGGCTCCCGCGGTCTCGCTAGAACATTTGCCTGCAGACTTGGTGAACCGGCAGGCCCATGATGATTTGATGCACGTGCAGCTGTTCATGAACATCGCTTGGGAGGCTCACGGAACTGCACAGTTGCACGAAGGGTGTTTGCGTGCATGAGAGAAGCGTCAAGATCTGCAGTGCCCCATGCCGCAGACGGCACGGCCCGAAGAGTGAAAGACGGACATGGCACGCAGGCTCACTCCAGGGTCAGGCAGGCTCATGGCACTCGCGAGGGTCAGCTTCACAAAGCTCTCTCGGGGCGTTAGGCTGCACTGCATGGGCAATCATAGGTACAGCACAGCACTAGCTCCAAGTGCAGGGTCTGTACATGCTGCTGCGGCCATGGCACTCGTCCCAGCTGACGCCGTGGGCGACGCCGCGGGCGACGCCGCGGGCGACGCCGCGGCACCGCCTGAATGGCGGTCGGTCCGCGACTTCGCTGCAATGATTTGTGGAGCATGCACCTCTTCTGTGCACCGATCTTTGCATGGGCTTCATGCGTGGTAGTTATAGTCATGCGACGTGCAGGCGCTGGCAAAGTAAAGTGGACCTACGAGAAGGTGCAGGGCATTGCAGCGGCCATGGAGCAGCACCTGCCTGTGGCAGTCAAGGACTTGATAGAAGGCCCCAATTGGAGGGGCGGTGCCATCGTCCGACTGGAGTCGGACACTGCGCGACCGACAGCGCGTGAGGTGTCCCGCCACTACTTCCTCCTGAAGCCTTGGGTTCAAGCCCTCCCAACCCCGGTGCCGAGCGCTTATATGGTTACCGACACCCTGCTTCTGCTGAACGAGTTGCTCGGGAAGAAGCTCTTCCCCGTCCAGCCGAATGAGTCGTTGATCAACAAGGCGGCCGCGGAGGCCGTGAAGATCAAGAAGCTCCTTCAATCTTTGAGGTACCTTTTTCGATCGAGCGGCTCAATTGCAGATCGGTTCCATTTGGCAATTAGCAAAAGCACCGGATCCCAGGTAAGAACAGCCGCTTCACGAGAATCGCGGATTTGAAGCACGACCTTCGCCCGAAGGATCCGAAGTCGCCTGTTGTCCTTTGAGAGGGTTTGGCATGCATTGCTTTCTAGTTTGCCCTGCTTTTCGCTTGGAGGAGAGGACACCTGCGAAGACGGAGACGGAGAAGAAGGAAGCGGAGAAGGCGATCGAGGACGACTACCTCGCCTCGATTGCCACGGAGGCCGCTCCGATTGAGGATGGTGCTGTTGCTGGGCTTCGCTAGTGTAATGTTGCACGATCTGAGGATGAGCCCCTGCTTTCGCAAGCGTCGACACGACAGCTGGGAGATCGGTCGGAAGACGATGAGGACAGGTTGGAAATACGTTCATTTTTTCTCCCATCATGCAACCCTATGACTTGCAGGATTTCTCCGACCGGGACTCCATGTCGCTGCTCGCGGAGCTTAGCTCCGAGGAGGAGTGGAGCGACAACGATATGGACATGAAGCTCGATGAACTTGCGTGCGGGCTGCTCTTTCCGCTCGAGTGCCTCGATCCAGAGGCAACGGTGTCGTATTGTGGGGCGTCGGACATACCGACGCCGCCATCTTCGCCGAAGAGCGAGGACGAGGACGAGGCATTGTGATAGTGCATGTTGGAGTGAGCGAGTGTGCATTGCATGCATGAGGATGACACGAAGATGATTGCCAGTGGCAAGAGGCTGCCAAAGGACTGCGTCTATAAGATTGCAACCTGACATGTGTTCGTGGGATGTGCATGCATTATAGGATCCGACGGGATCCTGGTTGTGTCGGCCCCGTCCAAAAGTGGATCTAGATGAACCTATCTTCGAACCGTGGCCGGTGGTTATCGATGATGATGATGACGATGTCAAGGATTGAACGTGCAGCGACATGTCTTGTGATGCTTGGATTTTAATTATGGCACCTGTCTCTTAAAGGAGCCGGAGCCTCCAAGCGTGCCGACATCATCTGCGGAGCAGGACGTTAATGTGTGCATGTTGCAGTCATGATCAACAAGTGTTTGCATGTTCCAGGATGAAGAAACCGACCTCGAAAAGGCCGAGAAGATCATGGATGCCGTGAGCTCGAGCTCCGAGAAGCCCGAGGATTTCGTGATGATCATGATTCATTCAAACAATTACTTTGTAGTCCCGTCATGTTGCAGGAGTCAAAGTGTGACCGGACGATGGGCAAGAGGAACAAGAAGCTTTCCCGAAAGAAGGCCAGATTGATTTAGAGGTTCCATAGTTGTTTCATTGCATCTTGTTGCGGGTGTACAAGGGCCAGCCGAAGATGATCGGCCCATCCGTGGCAGAGGACGCAGTAACTATGGTTCACGCAGAAGAGTTGCTTCTCGTTACGTGTTTTGGCAGGACAGCGACATCGACGTGCCGAAGGGCCCGGATTCGGCATCGGAGAAGGACGAGTGTAAGGTTGAGACGAAGAGTTATTCATAGTTGTGGGTTTTTGCAGGATGCGCAAAGCGACTCCGACATCCACAGCGATGTTGAGGGCCCCGGGACATCGTCCAAGGAGGAGGAGTGTAAAGTTCATGCACACGCAAGATTTTTTGTGGGTGCCTTGAATACTTTCGCAGGATCCGGGAAGCGACAGCAACGTGGAGTCGAAGAAGCTGGGCCGCCGCGGCCCACGTCTGAAGGACGAGTATTGAGTAAATCTCATTGGGAAAAGCTGTGTGCTATTGCGTGTTTGGCAGGATTTCGCAACTGACACCGACTGGGCCCGGGCATTTGTGGAGTCACAGAACTCACGATCGGAGAAGGACGGGTGTGGTTTATAATCTACATATAGAGTTGTTTGTATGTACGTGTTTGTCAGGATGGACCAAGCGACAGCGACATGGAGCCGAAGGGGCCGCTGGGTTCGGCATCCGAGAAGGACGGATATGAATCAGCTAGTATTATTTCTAATTGTGTGTTCTGGCAGGAAGGACGAAGCGCCAGCGATATCGAGCCGAAGGGGCCACTGGACTCGGCATCGGAGGAGGACGGATATGAATCAGCTAGTGTTACTTCTATTTGTGTGTTCTTGCAGGATGGACCAAGCGCCAGCGACATCGAGCAGAAGGGGCCACTGGACTCGGCATCGGAGAAGGACGGTTATGATACAGCTATATAGTATTATTTCTATTTTGTGTATTCTTGCAGGATGGACGAAGCAGCAGCGACATCGAGCAGAAGGGGCCACTGGACTCGGCATCGGAGAAGGACGGTTATGATACAGCTATATAGTATTGTTTCTATTTTGTGTATTCTTGCAGGATGGACGAAGCAACAGCGACATCGAGCCGAACGGGCCACTGGAGACGGCATCGAAGAAGGACGGATATGATTCAGCTATATAGTGTTATTTCTAATGTTCTTGTAGGATGGACGAAGCAAAAGCAACATCGAGCCGAAGAAGAAGTGCCCACGGCGGGAGAAGGACGGATGTGAATCAGCTCTATAGTGGTATTTCTAGTCGTATGTTTTTTGCAGGATGGACCAAGCAAGAGCGACATCGAGCAGAAGAAGAAGGGCCCACGACGGGAGAAGGACGGATGTGAATCAGCTCTATAGTGGTATTTCTAGTTGTATGTTTTTTGCAGGATGGACCAGGCAAGAGCGACATCGAGCAGAAGAAGAAGGGCCCACTGGACTCGCCATCGGACCAGGATTCGTATGCTTTTTCCATGTTGCTAACCTATAAACTCCATCCCGTCCCGCCAGGATCTGCCAAGCGACTTCGACAGCCCCACGAATCCCGAGTGGCTCCCCGAGACTATGATGGACGCAGAGGCAGCTAATCTATCAGTGTCGTTGAGGTTTTGGAACATGTCCTTCAATTGATTTGATCGAAGGGCAGCGAGGATGATCCCATGGCAGTGCCGTTCATGTCCAGCAGCGATGAGGAGTCTCAGGGCAGTTGCATAAAAGATAGTATTGAGAAACCCGTTGCATGGATTCCTACTACATTAGTCTATTCATTCGCGACTGGGGCAGGACCCTGCCCGGAACAACAAGAAGCGGCCAAACCTCATGATGGTGAAGGCGGAGGAGCACAGCGAGGACGACGAGGCATGCAGCACGCCCACGTCGATTGCGGAGCTCATGGGATTGAACAAAGATATGATGCATGCTGATGTCGAGCCAGTTGGAGAGCAGGGATATCGAAGCACGCAGGCCCGCAAGGCGGCCGCGAAGGCCGAGGCCGCGAAGCCCGTGAAGGCCAAGGCGAAGGTGCTCAGAAAGAAGGGCAGCTTCAGACGCGTGCTCAAGCGTCGCAAGAAGAAAGCCGCCAAGAAGGCGGCCGAGGAGCCCACGGACCGTACCGATGTCATGTTTCAGAAGTACAACCTCAAGGACCTGGCCGTGCCCAAAGACGCCTTCCCACAGGGACCAACGAAGGGACTCCACTCCTACACGATCCGCAGCCCGAGCCAGAAGTGTGCAATAGAGGTCCTTTGCAGGAATAAAGCCTTCTATGCCAAAAAGATCCACCCGGACCTGGCAGCTGACGCGGGCCACAAAGTGGGGCAAGTGGGCTGGAAGACGGTAGGGAGTGTAGCGGCTGCTTGGAAAGTGGCAAAGGACAGAGTGGGATGGGATTTGCCGTGACCACTACAACCTACAACAATCCTAACTACCAATACTTTCTACTACTACTACTACTACTACTACTACTACTACTACTACTACTACTACTACTACTACTACTACTACTACTACTACTACTACTACTACTACTCCTCTACTACTACTACTACTACTACTACTACTACTACTACTACTACTACTACTACTACTACTACTACTACTACTACTACTACTACTACTAACTACTAACTACTACTACTACTACTACTACTACTACTACTACTACTACTACTACTACTACTACTACTACTACTACTACTACTACTACTACTACTACTACTACTACTACTGCACTACTGTAAGATATGCTGTTCGTACTACAGTGCGATGAAAACGAGATCACCGAAACCCCATCCTTCCGGCTGTCGCTGCCTCGCTGCTATATGCACCGGCCAATCGTGTTGCGACTTGAGAACGAAGCATGCATTTAAGATGTTCGCCTTATGGTATGTGATAAGTTGTTGCTGGGGTGCTTGGCGGTGCTTTGGCAGAGTAGATTTTGGGAGGCTCCGGTCTGCAGTGCTGCATGGCTGTGATAATACGTACGAATATGTACGCAGCTAAAACATGCAATCAGCTGGTGTCACAGCTGGCCATAAGTTGTGAGCTGTTGCCGCGTATGTGCTGTGGTGGAGCAGAGTTTGGGCTCTCGGGCTGTGCCAATTTTGCCCGACGGCCCTCTACGGAATGCAGTGCTGCAGGTGCGAACCTACACAGACAACAAAATCAGCTAGGGTCACTGCTGGCTCGTAAGATGTCTTGCTGATGTGCCTGCTGTGCTGGGTATGAAGAAGTTTCGCAGTTTCTTGCTACGTGCAAGTGGAGGCCCGGAGGCCCTCGTGAGCGGTGCGAGCCAAGAAATTATGTACATTTCGCCATCGCAGGAATAGCAGTATTGTAGTTGTAAATCAAGAGCTAGCGCTGTCTGTCTTCCAGCATGATTGTGTTATTGGCCGAAGGCTCGGCCCACAACGAGGGGTGGCTTCGATTGCGAAACCGCAAAACCGCAAAAAGAGCTGGTGTGCTCAAAGCTCACGGTCTGTTGTGCGTCGCATGGCTATATGAGTTGCAAGACTAGCATGAAGTTCTGTTTGATCCCGGATGCATGCCTGCAGGCCTGGCCGCAGTGGATATATGTGGACCTCGAAGATTCTGTGGAAGGACCGATCATGGAGGGCTTAGCATGAGTGATTGAGTGCATGATGCAAGCAGAGCAATTCAAGTCTGCCTTGTGCGAGGGCGTATGTGTGCATGTGCGTTGACCCATGAATGTGTGAGCCGTACAAGGCTCATGTGTATACGGAATGTCATACATGTGCTGAACCCGTGCAACCATGCATGGAAGTGGTTGTGTGCATACAGACTCATACAAACAACTTTGTACAAGATACACATGTACCATGCAAACACTGACGTGCTTTGGCTGTTCACCTTTGCGATGAAGCATCGTCGTAGCAAGAATGTGAAGACTTTGCGGCGGGATCGTGCCGTGCGGAAGAATCCGCGCCTTATGCAGCAATCGTGGGTGCTGCACGGTTTGGCAAAGATGGGTGCTGTGCCATTGGAGCTTTTCCTGCATTTCAATGAGTGCATCATGTTGTGCCCACTATAACCCTCAACTCCAGTGTCGTGACTGCAGAGGTTGTATTTAAACTGGTGGCTATGATGACACAAATCCAAAGCCTGCCCTGGGATGTTGCCCTGCACCACTTCGAAACGTTTGCTGGAAGCAGAGCAGTTACACGAGCCGAGCAGCGAGCTGCTTGCTTGCAGAATAGTTAAGTCATGCTTGCCCCCACCCACAACCTCCCAAAAGCCCCTCCTTGTAAATGTTTCTCCCAGGCTGGCCGATATGCGATCCCACATGACATCGTCTACAACGAGCGCACGATGAATATCCTCAGCTCCCTGGGCTATTGCAATGCATTGTTTGAGTGCCTTCGACTGGTGCCTGGTAGTGGAAAACTCACGGCCCCTGTGTGCTCATCATGGATATTTCTGTAGGGCACCAAGTTGCTATGGAATGCATATGATGTGCTTCCCTTACAGCTGACATGTGTGCTGTGCTGATAAGAAATCTTGAGGTCTCAATCCAAAACAATGCGACGGGCTGGCGATGTACTGGGAGACGAGTCTGTGCAGTCTGTGAAGGATGCAAACTGCATGCTGTGGCGAGTTGTTGTCCTCCTCCTAATCTGTTCGGCTAAGGGGGTGTTCTGGATATTGGAACAACCAGAGCGGTCATTGATGGAATCCCATCCTGCCATTCAGCTGCTCTTTGGCTGTGTGAAATGCTATCGAGTATCTATTCAGATGGAAGATTTCGGCGCGAAATCCAAAAAACCAACATGGTTGTATAGTAGTGCCTTGTCCGCACGTACAGAGTCATGCTTGCAAGTGGTTCCATGTCGGAGTAGCCATGCATCCCTTGATGTTTGCTGAGATCGGAAGATACTGGAGAAGCTTCCACGATTCAAGCCACCGGTGGAAGACCTTCCCACCGAGGAGCAGAAGAAGGGATGGGAAATGTCAGTGCATTACACCGACGAGACCGGATGCAAGCGTGTGAATGGCGGCCGAAACCTGAAGGGCTCACAAGCCTATCCGAGACAGTGGGGCCCTCAATAATTGCAATTGCATTACAACCGCGGTTCGTGCGGCCCTGACAATTAACCCCGAAACCGCGATGAGTGTTGTTTCCCAGTAAGGTTTGGCATTGCTTTGTCATCCTTGCGGACGGAGTACGATGCTGAGATCAAGCAGCAGGCTTGGGCAGATCTCGCTGAGGCTCTGAAGCAGCCTTTGCGGCTTCCTGCAGAGTGTAAGATCTCTAAGAGATGGGAGCGGAAAGCCGGTTTCAAGAAGGTGTTTGCATTCTTGCGACAGCAGCAGTAGCTGCTATGTGTGCAGCATGCATATAATTGAGTGCAGGCATCATGTGCAGGGGAATGGGGCCGAAAAAGGATTCCACAGGTTGCCGGTGAGCATGCATGTTGATTTGCAATACCAGCTCTATATGGATCAATATGCGATCATGGATGCTGGCTTGCAACGCAGGATCATGCCGCCGTTCATATTGAAGCCGGGCGGTCTGGTATTGGCCAAATGCCGTGCTCCAGTCGAAGAAGGCCATGCATGGGTGCCATGCATGTGTGTGTGTGTCAAACAAGAGAGTCAGTGCTGCTTTTCTGCTCGGTTTGTGAACCGGTGCCTGGGGGAGCAGAGGGGAGAGAAGAGGTGAGGGCAGAACGCAAAGGGAGAAGGGAGATGGGAATGAAGACCGAACCGGAGAGCGCGAAGGGAAAGAGAGCGGAGAGTGGAGAGTTCGCAGCGGACCAAAACCACCGAACAAAAAAAACAAAAAACCGAACGAAACGAAAACGACGCAAAACCACCCCAGCCGCTGGTGTGATTTGGCGTGGACGCTGGTGCGATTTGGCGTGGAACGTCGTGATTTGTATTTCGACCCCAAATCTCAACCAATGCCCCCCCAGAACAGCCAGAACTCGAGACGAAAGAGCGCAACTTCGGCACTTGATGGAAGATGACAGCCGTGATTTGTAGCAGCCGCTGCCGTGATTTGCAAAAGATATGAACCGCATGCTGTGATATTGTAGCAGCCGCTTCCGTGATTCGTGATTTGTAGAAGCCGCTGCCGTGATTTGTGGAAGCCGCTGCCGTGATTTGAAAAAAGCCGCTGCCGTGATTTGTAAAAGCCGCTGCCGTGATTTGCCGCTGCCGTGATTTGAAAAAGCCGCTGCCGTGATTTGCAAAAGCCGCTGCCGTGATTTGCAAAAGCCGCCGCCGTGATTTGTAAAAGCCGCTGTCGTGATTTGTAAAAGTCGCCGCCGTGATTTGTAAAAGCCGCTGTCGTGATTTGTAAAAGTCGCTGCCGTGATTTGTAAAAGCCGCTGTCGTGATTTGTAAAAGCCGCCGCCGTGAGTTGTAAAAGCCGCTGCCGTGATTTGTAAAAGCCGCCGCCGTGATTGTAGAAGCCGCCGCCGCCGTGATTTGCAGCAGCTGCTGCTGTGATATGATACATCATGGATATATTATATCGTATGCAACATACACATCTATAGTTTATAGGATTCCTATATATATTCTGCATTTGGTGCCACAGGTGCATGCAGTAATATGCACACATATGTACATGCATGTGCATGCATGCATATATATATATATATATATATATATATATATACACACACACACACATTTTCCTATACCTGCACACATAATGTATATATAGTGTATGTATATGTATATAACATGCATGCATGTTGTCTTGTCTGTCTCTCTGCATGCAGTCTCTCTCTGTCTTTGTACATATAAGCCAAGCCAACCCCCCAGCCCATGCGCCCAGCCCATCCATGGGCAAGTCCGTCTGTCCATATATGTCATTCTGTCTTATAACGTATACAGCCCACCCAAGCCAGCCCCAGCCCGCCCAGGCTATATGGAGAGTCTGTCTGTCTGTCTGTCTATCTGTCTGTGTCCTCGTCTCTCTCAGACACCTTGAGATGCAAAGCAAGGTTCCATGAAGTGAGAGCACATGAAGCTTCGATGCATTCACCTTGTGCTGCATGGGGCGCTTGCTTTCAAGCTTTTGGTGGCTCCTGTTTTGTGAAGTTAATCTTTGAGCTGCCATGGCAGCCGGCGATCCTGTGACTCATAGGGTTTCAACGAAACGCCAGCAGTCACGAGACGACAGCGAAAGCCGGCCGAAGAAGAAGGCAAGGCCGTCGAAGCTTGAAGTGTCCCGGCACGAAAGACTCATGGTCTCCTTGCAGAAGTGTGCTACTAAGAGTAGCCTCGCAGCCCCTCCTGTTGCGATTAAGAAGGGCCGAAAAGAACAGCAAGAAACCGAAGTCGCAAAGGAAAAGAAGGAAAGCAAGGAGAAGAAGGAAGTCAAAGAGAAGAAGGAAAGCAAAGAGAAGAAGGAAAGCAAAGAGCAGAAGGAAAGCAAAGAGCAAGTCAAAGAGAAGAAGGAAAGCAAAGAGCAGAAGGAAAGCAAAGAGCAGAAGGAAAGCAAAGAGAAGAAGGGAAGCAAAGAGAAGAAGGAAAGCAAAGAGCAGAAGGAAAGCAAGGAGAAGGAGGAAAACAAAGAGAAGAAGGGAAGCAAAGAGAAGAAGGAAAGCAAAGAGCAGAAGGAAAGCAAGGAGAAGGAGGAAAGCAAAGAGAAGAAGGACAGCAAAGAGCAGAAGGTCAGCCAGGAGCAGGGAGGAAACAAGGAGAAGAAGGGAAGCAAAGAGCAGAAGGAAAGCGCAGAGCAGAGGGACCACAAGAACAAGAAGGACAGCAAAAGGGGAGTGCAGGAGGCAAGCAAGGAGCAGAAGGAAAGCAAGGAGAAGAAGGCAAGCAAAGAGAAGAAGGAAGACCAGACGGCCAAGAAGCGGAAGAAGGAAGGCACAAGCAAGCAGGACGTGTCTGAGGAGCAGGACCGTGGACCGTGCACATTGCAATGGTGTCTTATAGTTTATGTAGATATGCAGTTTGTGCGTGGTGCATGAGTATAGGACGATGAAACGGCGGAAGCCTTCGATGAGGTGGCATTCCTGGAGGCGGAGCTTGCAGCTCGGGAGCTAGCGGAAGCCCGAGAGGACTCGGAGGTTTCAGATGGCGAGGCACCCGAAGCTTCGGAAGAAGCCAAGGACGATGAAGAGGAGGACGAGCCAGAGCAGGAGGAGACCAGTGCTCCAAGGACCCCAGGTGCCGGCGCTTTGGACAGTGACGAGGAGCTGCCTCAGTCGCAAGATTGTGTCTTGGACGAAGAGGACATGCAGTCCGACTCGTCAAGCGACCAGTCGGAGGAGAACGTGGACGGCGACTCCTTGAGTGACGCTGAGGACACAAAGGCGTTGAGTACGGCCGTGGCGACTGAGCCCGTTCGGAACAGCTCCCTAGATTGCATATATACATGCAAGCTTGCTGTTTCAGTTGCCGTGCGATATTGCGAGTGCATTTAAGGTGCCACACACAGGAAGGAATGGGCGGTTTTTGATCGTGCCGTTAAGAACCGCCAGAAGTTCCCCGTCGCTCTGAGCAACTATGCGAGCAAGTCCAAGACGGATTTGTTTGCTGCATGGCTCGATTGCAATGGCAATTGGGACGAGCTATTTGGCTGCATGAGTTGTCTTTGGGTTTGCAGTTTGCTTGCGTGAGTTTGCGGTTGTATGGAGCAAGACATGTTTCGAAGGGTGCTGCAATGCTGTCAGGGTGAAGTTGGTTATGGAACGCAAGCATGAAAAGAAGAGCCTAAATCGCCAGGATGTTCTTGCTATTCAGGGAAAGGACTTGAAGACAAAGTACGCAGACGAGGCAGAAGACTTATCCGTTTCCGGTTGCACAGTTCAGGCTGAACACATTTGCCAGGCAATGTACAAGCAAGTGATTGCAGCAAGAAAAGCCGAAGGCCGCTGGTACAAAGACAAGGACTTCCCCGACAACGAAGATGTGACTAGGTTTCATCCATGGGAGTTCTGAGCCGTGTTGTGCTGTTGTTCTTGCTGTGCATGTTATCATATATGCATTTGCTGAGGAAGCATGGTATTACATGCCGAAGGGCCACCTGCTGCGGCTTGACAATGCCACGAGCGAAGAACAAAAGTTGTCTGTCGAACAAGGTATGGATGAGGACTTGGCGAAGGTACTGGAGGAGAACAACCTGCTTCAGGCAGGCACCTTGCCTGCGGTACACGCAGCCACTGAGGCTGGCGAGAAGGCGCTTCTGGCCTTCTTCGATGAGGGTGCTGCTGTGGCAAAGCGAACACCGAAACCCAGGAAGGACAAGGAGTCAACGGAGGATGCCAAGGAGATGGAACCGAAGACCGTGCGCCAGTTGCTTGAATGCTTTTGTTGAGTTACTTCAATGGTGTCTGCGCTGCTGCTTGTGCGTGGGTATTTATGCTAAGGCTGGTGGCAGAAGCGAAGCCGGAGATCCTGAAGGATGCTTCGAAAGCTCGGGAAACCTCCCTCACCCTGAACAACCTCAACTACGGTGAAAAGTTGGCCGAACAGCTGCTGAATTACTCCAGGCAGATGGAGCTGACCTACAAGAGGCTAGCTGAGCTGGAGGCAAAGGAGAGCACCGAGGATGCCGAGTTGAACAAGTTTCTGAAGTATGTGGCCAAGAAGAAGCCATGGTTCCAGCAAGCCCAGGCTCACTGATCTTGCGTTGCTGCGGTGTGCGAGTTTTGTTGGATCTGTGTGCGGAACACATGCTTGCTAAGGCAGCAGCAAACGGCCTGCAGTCTGGATTGAAAGCAAAGAAGAAGAAGGCAGGAGCCAAAGCAAGCGCCAAAGGTGCTGCTGCGAAGCCTGCCGCAAAAGCGGCTGCTTGATGATGATGTAGGTTTGGGATGCACCGCACATGACGTTTATCTTGGGACGATTGCATTCTGACGTGGGGTAGACTTGCCAGTAGGCGAGCCCTCGCTGGGACGTGCATGCGCACTTGACAGTTTGATAGTGTTCATTTGGGAGTCTTCCTGTTGAATGCAGAAATATGTAAGCTGCATGAATTTGCAAAGTTAGGGTGCATGTAAGATGCTCCTGAGACAAGTGTGCTATGCATGTCACCGAATGCCTTGCGAAAGCTCCTTTTGGGAACATGCGCAGCTGCCACGATGGCAAAAGCCGACGAGATCCGCAGTTCGTTCTGCTGAAAGAGTATGATTCATGTCATGCTGGTTGCTTGCAAACACGGTCTCTTGTGTTTGTGTGTTGAATTCCGAAGTTAGATTCTGCTTCTTGGCAGGCCGTGCTGATGATGATCGATCCAAGCCCAGGCTTTGCCGTTTGAATCGTCATGTGCTTTGGTCAGTTCATGTTGCTGTACTGCCATGATGCAGGCCTACATCCTTTCGTCGGAGAATGAACTATGAATCTATGCCACATTCTCATGCAGCAGAAGAGCTTCTGGATATGATTGGGAGTGGCAAGGCCCATGTGGCACATGCTCAAAATTTGGCGCAGGCTATGATTCGGGATGGGATTCCAAAGGAAGCTGTCTCTGCTTTTGCGAGCCTGGGATCATTTGGGCAGCATCCTTCGAATGCTGAGCGTGACCTACATAGATGGCTGAAAGGTATCTTTGGAATGTGCTTGGAACCATACTATATAGACTTGCTACTTGAAACGGAGGATGTTGATGAGGACGCCGGGAAACCTTTGACGGCAACCAAAAGGATTCCTGTTCTCCTACCACACGAGATCTTCGCTGAGCTTCATTCTTCAAGTGCGTATCAGGTTCCGACCGGACACAAAACACCGAGGGAGCACAAGACTAACCTTTTGCGACAATCTTTTCTCGTTTGTTTTCACGCATGTCTCTTTCCGTGCGAGTGGTTCTAAGGTTTGTTGGTGCATCTTGTTACATAATATGACTCTTTGTTCCCTGTCAGTTTGGTACGAGCATGCTGGGGCACCAGACACCGAATGCGATCAAAGAATTTTGGGAACATTTGCAACGGTTTGCGCCGATGGATATCAAGGGTCATCCGGCTTTGGAGAGCTGTGATCTCTCCGAGCTTGTGCCGCTCCTTGTTCACTTTGATGGTGCAGAAATGTACAGGAATGCTGAGTACAACATATGGTCTTTTTCCAGTGTATTTTCTTCTATGCTGGATGTGGATTGCATCCAAACTCAATTCTTGTGTTGTATCCTTCCTCATATTGCGATGGAAACCAAGGAGGCCTGTGGGGGATTCCATTTGAACTTCGTATAATGTGTCATAGAAGTAGAAAGTAGAATACATTCTTCTTATAAGTGACTTAAGCCATTTCCCAGGTGAAGGACCACGTGCACACTGAAATCGCGAAGCTCATGAGCTGGTCTTTCAAAATCCTTCAAGAGGGTCGCTTTCCAGATCGTGGGTATTATGGGGAAGAGCTTCTTGAAAAATCGAGTCGGGGAAAGAGCCGCGGGCTGCCCCTGGCCGGCGGATGGAAGATTCTTGAGCTGCAGCTATGTAAGATTTTGGGTAGCCGGTCTGAGTTGCAGGTCTGTGCTGTCCGTTGTGAAGTGCATGTAATTCTGCAGGGCGTGCTTCTATGGATTTCGCGGGGACCAGAAAGCGAGACGGGAGTGTCATTTCTTTACACGGCACTACAACTGCAATCTGCTTTGCGACCAATGCGTTGCCATCAAACCATCAAAGAATATGGTCCGTGGGATGAACTACAAGAACTTTTCTGCGAATGCTCCTTTTCTTCTCACGACTATCAGTCACGAAACGTATTTGAACACAACTTCAGCGAGTGACCTGTCGCCTTGGACGGCGATGCCAGGCTGGAGACTTGAGAATACGTTTTTCGATTGGATGCATGTAGTCCTGCTTGGAGTGGGAAGAGATGCTGTTGCTGCCGCCATCAAACTGATGGTCATGCGGGGACTGATTGGCTGGGATACAAAGCGAGCAGATCTGAAGATGTTGACACTTTGGATCAAGAAAGAATACAAGAGCCGGACTGGGTACCTGGGCTTTTTGAAGAACGCTTTTTGGTTTTCTTCTAGTAGTTGGCTTTTAGCTGTGTTCGTTGGTGCATGTATCATGATTTTCACCCTGAAGGAAATCCTTCTCTGTGATATCTTTGACCCCTGCAAATGCTGGCCTGGATCCTTGGACCGAATACCCGGAGCTCGGGACAATTTTCAAGGCTGCGCAAGTCAAGATCCTGATCTGGGGAATATCGAGAAAACTCCAGGAGGTGGTCAAGCGCGTTCAGGAGTTCCATGTTCCAAAAAATTCCGCATTCCCCATGCTGTTCTAAATTTAACTTTTTCTTTTGCATGCATCCATCTATCTCTCAGTGCCTCTCTCCCTTTCTCTCAATCTCTCTTCAACTCTCTCCCTCTCTCTCTCTCTCTCCCTCTCTCCCTCTCTCCCTCTCTTGCTCTCTCGCTCTCTCGCTCGCTCGCTCTGTTGCTGTTCTCTGTGCCGCAGGATGAGGATTTGGTGAGAATGGCTCTGGCAATGCGAGGGCTCAGTGAAGCTCAGAGTTTGCTGGACAACGGCGGCTTGAAGTTCACTGGAAGCGAAGCACGAAAGTTCGATGAAATGGTGCACTTGCATTTACGAACGTGGCAAAGGCTGGCTGTGAAATTCGAGGACCTCCTCATCCCTTTGTGCAACATCCGGCCCAAACACCACTATCTACAGCATCTTGCTCGGTATGTGCTGCGGACCCGAATAAATATTCGGATACACCAAAACTTCGATTCTGAATCCTACATGGGGAAAATCAAACGAATCGCCTGCAAATGCCATTCGACTTCGATGTTGCTGCGAGTCCAGCAGCGCTACATCCTGTACTTGGCGTTGCTCTGGGATCGAGCAAAACGAGCATCAGTTGGTGGGGATGTCAGGGCAAAATCTTTGGAAGATATCTTGCTCTTGGAGGAACGAAAACCTTTCAGTAGCAGTGCTGAGATTGCGAAGCGACGATGCTTGCGAGGCTGAACGGTGCGATGGTCGCAAACAAACGGCTCCTGGCCAACTGATGGGGATCGTATTCCTGGGCTTTCGAATGTGGGTGCATGTTATGTTTCGAAAGTTCATCTGATATTCATCTTTCTTCGAAGTTCAGAGGCCTTTGCGGTTTTCTGGCCGACGTGGTTTTTTTAGTCATGAGCATTCAACCATGCAGGTCATATTCAGGATCCTCTCGCCCCACACAACCCGACTTCTTAAATTAACGATCGCCGACAATCTGCGGTAAACAGTAGAATAAGTACGCAACGAAATCAGGGAACCATCATGTCTCGCAACGAGTCTTATGCAGATGTGTGTGTGTGTGTGTGTGTGTGTGTGTGTGTTTGCGTGTCTGTGTGTGTGTGTGTGTGCTAGACATGCTCGTCCCGCATGCAAAAAACATGTCACACATCACATGAAGACCCAGACAGCTATATAGCAACCTAGAAACCAGCCGCCGTATGTTGCAAACCAGTCGAAAGAATTTAAGTAAGTTACTGATACACATAGATGTGCAGATGATATGTATACATATATATATACATACCCCATATGACCCTTAATGCTTTTGGCTCAAATGTTGTTGGTGCAACTTTGCGCCAACAACATTTTCAAGTGCTGGCTCCTATATATCTATCGCAAGCAAAGTAAACGCCATGAGCGCAAGTAAACGCCATCAGCGCAAGCGTTTTTTGCATCAGCGGACGCAGCCACTGTTTGGAAAACACTTTGCATGCATTATAATGTATTATGGCATTTGCTGTTGTTGCATGGTCGCGGCAAGTAAACGCCATCAGCGCAAGTAAACGCCATCAGCGAAAGTAAACGCCATCAGCGCAAGTAAACGCCATCAGCGCAAGCGTTTTTTGCATCAGCGGACGCAGTCACTATACACATACCCCATATGACCCTTAATGTCTTTGGCTCAAATGTTGTTGGTGCAACTTTGCGCCAACAACATTTTCAAGTGCTGGCTCCTATATATATATATATATATATATATATATATCGCAAGCAAAGTAAACGCCATCAGCGGAAGTAAACGCCATCAGCGCAAGCGTTTTTTGCATCAGCGGACGCAGTCACTGGTTTTGAAAACACTTTGCATGCCTTATAATGTATTATAGCATTTGCTGTTGTTGCATGGTCGCGGCAAGTAAACGCCATCAGCGGAAGTAAACGCCATCCTGCATGGACAAACGCCATCAGCGCAAGTTGCCATGAAACGCCATCAGCGTAATTACATTGGCATGCATACCATGCGTATACGCTGCGTATGCAGCGTATATACGCTGCGTATAACCAGCGTATACGCAGCGTATAACCAGCGTATGGCATACGCCGACGCTGGAATTACGCCAATGCAATTTGTATACGCTAGTGTGCAAAACACACCTTCGGATCCTTACGGTATGCTCCACGCCGGCCTCCTGGACAGGTGGATGCTACACACACGTCCTTCAACGCAAGACGCACAGACTGCTTTCGACGCGACACCACAGACCGGACAACTTGGGCCCTGAAGCTCAAACCCTCAATCCAAGTTTAGCTGAAACGGAACCCCTATACCCCTTGCAGGATCCCTTCTAGGAGCCCTATAAAGAAGTCCTTTAAAGGAGATAGCGTTTAGGGGTGGAGGGTTTAACGGCTTTAAGGTTCGGGCTTAAGGTTCAGGGGCTTCACACACGCTGCTCTCGGAGGCGCGGTCTGTCCTAACGACCAAGCCCGAAAACCTAAGCGTTTGATCCCCAAACCCTCAACCAAAATGACACCTTGAACCCGACGACTGGCGTGAGCCTGTGGGGAGTGCAAGTTATGAGCGAAAGGTTTCTACAGATTCAACCACTTACGCAAGTTTCGCCGCTGAT